CACTCTGGATGCAGGAAATTTGAAATGGGGCTTCAAGTTTTCTCATTTGGCTTTTATTTATTGTGTAGATTTCCAAAAAAAAAATCTCGTTAATTTACATTCATATATTATCAAATTATTTTTTTCAAACGAAATATATATTACAAAATTATCAATCCTCATCTTCAAATGCAGTTTTGACTAGTCAGATCATCCGATTTTAACTGGTTCAACCTGGTTTTGACTGATTTAACCCAATTTTGATTTTTTCATAACCGTCCATCCAAAGTGTATTCCAACCGTTTAGATTATCGGTACCAATCACATCTGGTTGAACCGCTCAGCCGAATACTGGTTTGACAACCTTGAATAACACTACCTGGCTATAATATGTACCTCAAGTAGAGATGACAATTTTGTATCTAATCTTTTGTATCTAGCATTAGGTGTCTCCCAAGAATAAATATGTTCTAAAGTTTGCACAATTTAGATTCTAATGTCTCACAATATTATTCTATAAGTAGCTTGATGAAATTGAACATCGGCTCCTGCGGCTATGATTGCCTTTTTTCCTTTTGGGGCACCTTGTCATGACCTACAACTAGACAATAGGGTTCTCAAAGAGAGGAATAAGGAAGTGACCCAACAATTAAGATAATAGATGGATACCGATTAGAACGAGGGACATGCACGTTCTATTAACAAACAACGAACGATTTCCTTCGATTCTAAGAGAAACAGATGCAGCAACTTTATAACGACTTTTCGTTTCACGGCTAGTTGTCTTCCTTTTTGCTTCGCATTGTGTAGCAATATGTGTCTTCTTCTACTTCGATTCACGACGACTTTCTTATGGCGAGATTAGATCCGGCTCTAGTGTGATGGTGACGATAATGAGATTTTTTGTGACCTAGAGGGAGAACAGAGATGAGGCTATGGTCGAATGGGAGGAGGGGAGTTGTGGTTTTTTTCTTCTTTTCTTTTTGCTCCCATGGGAGGTACTCGAGGGAGAAGAAGGAGGAGATGTTGATGAGGGCATTTGTGGAAAATTATACGGGACACAAATTGGATACACAATCTCTCGTTAATAATCACAGCTTTCAGTAGAGATTGTTAATCCTTCAATTTGAGTGATTAGAGGTAGGCATTTGAAAAGTAAATACATGTATTCTAATGTAAATTAAATAAAAACAACGAAATCTTCACATTACATGTAGGGGTGTGTACATGAGTTGGGTGGTTCGGGTTTGGTCATTTTAATCACCCGACCCATATACTACGGTTTTGGAAATACCAAATCCAAACCCACCCAAAAAATTTAGAACCCTACAATTTGTTTATAGTTGGGTTGGGTCGGGTTAGAGATAATTTTAATTAAAAATCCAACCCAACATACACAAAAAAAGACCACACTATTCTACAAAATATTATATAACCGGTTAAATTTTTGAGCAAATAAATTGAAATGAAAGTATTAAAAATGCATAAATGGTATTATTATTTTCATGAAATACAATATGCTTCAGGGTGTGCCTACGGTGACATGCATGTCACGGTGACTTGCACTTTCCGGTCGACCTCAGTTAGGATTAGGTCGACCTCATTTAGAACTCGGTCGACCTCATATAGGATCTGGTCGACCTCATTTAGGATTCGGTCGACCTCATATAGGATCAGGTCGACCTAATCTGTTGTTTCAGTGTAAAAAAAGTTCATGGTGTCTACTTTGGATATTCATATCATACAATTGGGCAATTGGCTAGATGGAAATTGAAGACTAATGACTTGTTTTGAAGCTGGAGTGTCCCTCTACATATTGAAGTGATTGAGAGGTCGATAGGAAGTCCAGAAGACCATTTTTGAACCTCATCAAAAGGCTATGCCAAAACTGGGAAACTGCCTGAAAATGACTAAGTCTGGAAACGTGTTTGTGAAGCCTATTTTGGAGCTCAATTGGAGAAGCATGAATGCGAGTCGAGTCCAGGAGCCTCTACCACGTTAAATTAGGTATGTTTTTATACAAATTCAAGGCATTGGATGAAAGATGGGATATCTGTAAGGCTTCAAACAAAAGGGTCGAAGTTGCTACGAAGGCCGTTTTTCTGGCAGACTTCGAGCTGCCAGAAAAACAGCCTTCGTAGCAACTTCGAGCCTTTTGTTTGAAGGCTTAAAAATATTCAATCTTTCATCCAATGCCTTGCCTTTGTATAAAAAACTACGTAATTTAACGTGGTAGAGGCCCCTGGACTTGACTCGCATCCATGCTTCTCAAATTGAGCTCCAAAGTAGGCTTGATAAACACGTTGCCAGACTTAGCCATTTTCAGGCAGTTTCCTAGTTTTGGCATAGCCTTTTGGTCAGGTTCAAAAATGGTCTTCTGGACTTTCTATTGAGCTCCCAAGTACTTTAATGTGTAGAGGGACACTTCAGCTTCGAAACAAGCCTTTAATCTCAAATTTCCATATAGCCAATTGTAAGATATGAATCTCCAAAGTAGAGACCATGAAACTGTTTTTACACTGAAACAACAGATTAGGTCGACCTGATCCTATATGAGGTCGACCGAAAAGTGCATGTCACCGTGACATGCATGTCACCTTAGAAAAGTCCTATGCTTCAATATAAGTCTAGTTTTTTCCCACAAATATTTGCCGAAATAAACTAAAATGGTTATAAGTGAACGCATTCATAATATATTATTTTTCTAAAATTGTACACACAAAAATTATATGATTTGTAGCCTATATTAAGTATATGTCTAAACTTTAAGTAGAAGAATGTATTAGACTAGAGAAACCAAAAGAGAAAATTATGATAAAATTTTCTTTATTTTCTTACAAATATGCTTATATACGATACAAATATGTTTTGGATAAGAACATTTATGACAATAGATGGAATACGGGTTGGGTCGGATTCTACGGGTTACGTAACCCAAAATCCGGACCCAACCTAATAGAGGCGGTTTGTACAAAATAAAACCTTCACCCAACTTTAAAACTTAATTTTATCGATAAATATGGGTGGGTTGGATCAAATTGGACAGTTGAGTCGGTTTGCGGATTGTTTTGTTCACTCCTAATTACATTACACTAGCGGTGGGCCCCGGCCATTTGGCCAGAGGAAGGTGATGTATGAAAAATTTGATAATGTAATGGAGTGTAAAGCTTATTGTTGTATAGTTTTTTTTTGGAAACACGTGATAAAAATAGTGAATTTTAGTAGGAAAGAGGCATGAATGATGCAACGAATTCAAAATCAGCCTTATGAACCAAAATCAAGTACCTATTACCTTGTGAAACAATATTGTTTCTGGTAATATGATGAGGTGGAGTAAGTTTTATAGAAATCGAATTACAGAAAATCGAATAAAAAATCGCCTATCCCGCTGGTTTTCGGGAAATGAGCATCTCACAATCGTTGCTAGCTTTTGCTCGGCCCCATTGGCCGATTGATTTGCTTTATAAAACTTTCATCTTGTCATCATTGTGCTTTCTGGGTTTTTTCCAAGCCATGATAAAATCTAAAGAAATCAAGAATGAACAACACGATTTGGGATAGGAACCACCGTCCTGTATCCCTAGAAAATGGTGGTAAACACGGATTCACCTGCCAAACTGGTTTAGATTGAGATTTTTATCGGGTATCAGGGAACCATGTGATTATAAATTAGACTTGATCAAAATGGGCAAAAAATTGAAATTCAGCCTGTTTGACCGACACATGCCAAACTCTAATTATTTTTTACGTTTAAACTTTCTATTTGAAAATAAAAAATAATGAAAGAAAAGAGATGACTGCAATTCGCCATTTGCACATCACTGATTCGGGAATAAAACTATAGAATTTCGAAAGGAAACTGAAAATGTTTAGGATCGTTTTAATGTTAAAAATAACCAAATAGATCTTTCTGTTTAGTTTTTTACTAACAAATACCAAACGATTCCCTATAATATACACTATAATTTAATCATTATGATATCAAATAATTACATAATATATATTTGAAATGAAAAAAATGGACTAATTGGGTTGGTCGAGGTTGAACCATTGAATAACTTTAAAATACAATATATTTTAGCCACTAAGATATAAAATAATAGCATAATATATATTATGCTAGAGAAAATAGCTTGTTTTAGAATGGCAAACCCATGATGTTCATTTGTTTTACTTGATGGGCAAATCCCGTGTAGGTCAGGCCCATTCAACTCTTTTATTTGATGATTAGCGGTTAGCCCATTAGAACCATGCATTAGTTTATTGTTAAATTCTTTTTCCTTTTAGCAATAAAAATGAGTATTGTTTTTGCCTTTTCATACATATTTTACCACCACGGAGAAATAAAAAGACTTAAAGAAAAAAATTGACACTACTGGACCCGTTTAAATCTGCATGTGTACGGTAAGTTGGCCCGTTCCACAGAGGAAAAAGAAAAATATTGACTCTCTCTATTCTACCCTTCCTACAAGTGCTCCTGGAGCAGGGGATTTGAAATGAGACTTCAAGTTTTTTCAGGGAAAAGTGTATGACGGATGGCTGCACTGCATTGAGTATTTTTTTTTTTTTACTGTGATTGATGGACACTGTAGCTCTGTTGTTTTCAGCAGTCGATGAATTTAATTATTTTTACCGTACCTACATTGCTTCCTTTACGAACTCTGCCTCTGCCTGAGATTTCAATCAATGAACCGCGAAATGACTGTGGGTGAAAACTGAAAAGTAAAACAAATTCCCCATTTCCTTTTCTTTGAGCAAAACCAAATGCCATTTCCGTATCTCTGCGGGTTTGTTCTTCATAATTCATGCTACCGCTACTTTCTTCCTCCATAAATGCCCAACATTTACTTATCACTTTATTTTATGCTTTGTTATGGCAACGCAGAGTTGCAGACCTCCATGGATTTCTCCTTGTTTTCTTTGTCATCGTCTCTTACCAATCGCCAAAGATTCTCCCTCTCCTTAGAAAATTACAAAATATGATAAGTTCCTCGTTGCAAATACTTATTTTGTTTTAAGAAAAAAGAAGTAAAGTTGTTGTCTTTCTGGCTTTTTGGTTCATGGGTCCATTTCCCCTTTCCTTTCCTTGTCTCATGGCTCACCCATTTTAGGACAAGCCTCCAAAACCGATGCTCGCTGAAGAGATGATGAAGATGATGATGGATATAGCTATGTGGTTCTCCAATACCCCGTTTTAATTCTTGGTCCATGAAAGTTTCCGGCTTTTGATGTGCAACATCACATTTCCCCTCTTTCTCTCACTCTCACTCTCCCTCTCTCCGTCAATGGTGGTTTAGTTCTTCAAAAAAAGCTGGCATCATTCATCGCCCCCTTGATGGGTCAGTTTGCTGGAAACAGAAAGGAAGTTGCATGGTGAAGAAGAAAGTGGGTGGATTTGATACTTCATTTCTACTACTCTGTTCAAATCAAAATGGGAAGGCAAGGTGATGAACCAACTCTACAACAACAGAATAGTGTTTGCTTGATAGATTGCCAGAGCCAATAATCAGAAGAAGAAGAAGGGAAGTGGGTTGGGGGTGTGGGAGAAAGAAGCATGCCAACAGTGTGGTTCTCACTGAAGAAATCTCTGCACTACAAATCAGAGCCAGCAGATGTGCACGACCCAAAATCCAGGAAGCAATTGAGCACAATCTTGACCAGAAAAGCTGGTGGTGGGAGGTCCGGGTGTTCAAGGTCAATAGCCAATCTGAAAGATGTCATCCATGGAAGCAAGAGGCACATGGAGAAGCCACCGAGCTGCAGCCCGAGATCCATAGGCAGCAGTGAGTTCCTCAACCCAATAACCCACGAAGTGATTCTGAGCAACTCGAGGTGTGAGCTCAAAATCACTGGCTTTGGCGGTGGCGGTGGGTTCCAAGAAGGGTCTGGTGGTGGTAATTTGAAGGGCACCAGTGATGAAAACAGCGGTGGCGGTGGTGTTGGTTCGAGTTATGTGGGTACCTTAAGGCCAGGGACGCCAGGTCCCGGAGGTCACCCTACAATGCACTACTTCAATCCTTCCTTCAGGAACTCAGCAGCCACTCCAACCAGGAAATCTCCTTTCCTTGTACCAGACAGAGAAGGGTCTGGATTTGGTGGAGGAAATCATGGTGGTGGACATTCCAGTACAAGGGTTTCTCTTGATGCAGATGCCAATGGTGGCTCTTCTTCAATCACTTGCCACAAATGTGGAGAGCAGTTCAGCAAATTTGAAGCTGCTGAAAACCATCATCTTTCTAAGCATGCTGGTATGCAATGGTTACCGCTTAAAACTCCCTAATTGTTCATCATTGCTTACTTTTCTTCTCGAATCCTTACTTCCACAGTAGGCCTCTCACCTTTCACCCTTTCATCACCTTTTTAGACTTACCACGCTCCCTGGGATACTCTTTTTGACAGTATATTCTGTTTTCCAGTTCCTTCTTTTCCTTTTACCTTTTGTTTTCATTTCTCCAATGTAGAGTAGTACAGTTCTTTGTCTGCATTTACTTGTTCTTCAGAAGCTTTTTCCTTTTAAGATAGGCTAAGTTTCTTTGATGATTTGCTTAACGATGGATTCCTTTTATGTCCTTGCCCAGTTACTGAGCTCGTTGAAGGAGACTCATCCAGAAAGATAGTGGAAATCATATGCCGGACGAGCTGGTTAAAGAGTGAGAGCCATTGTGGCAGAATCGAGAGAGTACTGAAAGTCCACAACATGCAAAAGACCCTGGCTCGATTCGAAGAGTACAGGGAAACCGTGAAGAAGAGGGCCAGTAAGCTCCAGAAGAAGCACCCTAGGTGCCTAGCAGACGGGAACGAGCTGCTGAGATTCTATGGAACCACACTGGCATGTTCACTTGGCCTAAATGGCTCGTCGAGCCTGTGCATATCGGATAAATGCTGCGTGTGTCGGATCATCAGAAATGGGTTCTCGTCGAAGAAGGAGCTGAAAGGTGGAGTTGGTGTGTTCACTACTTCTACAAGTGGGAGGGCGTTCGAGTCGATTCAGATATTCGAAGAAGAACCATCAGCTACAAGTATGGTGAGGAAAGCTCTGATAGTGTGCAGAGTCATTGCTGGAAGGGTCCATAGGCCGCTGGAGAACATCCAGGAGATTGCTGGCCAGACTGGGTTTGATTCTTTGGCTGGCAGAGTTGGGCTGTATTCGAACATCGAGGAGCTCTACCTGCTCAATCCTAGAGCTCTCTTGCCTTGCTTTGTGGTAATCTGCAAACCATGAAGACCAAGAACCAGGTGGGAAATGAAAACCATCATCATCCAGTTATTGAACCAATCATGGTAGAGATTTTTCTTTTCTTTTTCTGCATAACTCATGCCACTGTATTCTGTCAACCATGTCCACTTCCATTTTGTGATTAGTTCCGACCGAAGACTGGTCGTTTTTCATCAGCAGAAATCATGCCTATATTCTATTGGTTCTATGTTCAAATTGATAAGGATGTGTGAGCAAATTTTTGGCTAAGTGCCAAATTGTAGGATGACCCGTGAATCTGAAACGGGACAAAAGCAGTGGTGGGTGGCTCTTTTGGTCCAAGGCAGAAAGATAGATAGATGGGTTGAGAATGATGACTATCTCAATCTTCAGTTAACTTACAAAGTGTTCATTTGGGGAAAGAGGAGGACATGACCTCTCAGTAATTAAGTGAAAGTTGCAGTTTTGAATTCTGTGTTATGGTGTTGGGGGAAGCTTCACTTGAAATTTGAACCTTCACTAAGCCATTAATATTTGACGAGTACTTCCAGGTCTCGAACCACATGTTTCAGGAAACCCAGGAGGAAGAAAATAATGTAAAGAAAACAGAAGGCAGTCGTTGCTGGCTTGCTGCTACTGCTGTGGCTTCTTCTGTTACCATTTTAAAAAAGAACCGTTTTCTCTGACTAGCAAACAAGGTGAAGGTATAATCAACGTGCAAAGATCCCATTATCTGTAATTTCACTAGAATTCAAACTGTTGAGGCCTCCCTATTGGGACTTTCAGAATACCATTATCATAATGCTGTGCAGAAACAAACATGTTGGGCAGCCATGGAAGCTTCCTTCCTGGAATGTGATTATTTACTGATTTAGGGGGGGTGAAGTTTGAGAAGTGCAGATTTGAAATGCTTCTAGTTTATAATATAATCATTTGAAGTAGAAGACAGTGGAGGCAAGAACGATGGATGGATAGATGGATGCATCAGCTAGCAGTCCAGTACTGTGAAAAGTGCAGCAAGTGGTCCTCCTCCAGTAAGCAATTGGTTGGTTGGTTGGAGTGGGGGCTGGTGCAGCTTAAAAAAAACAAAAGGGTTTGGCCAAAACCACAAGACAAAAATGACTCAGAAGAGAAATAACAACTGCCTTTAAGGTAACTGTGAATTTGACAGTAGGGTTTCTCTTGCCATCATTATATTTTTTGAAGAAGAGTCACCATTCACCATATTTGAATTTTCTGGTGTTTGAATACTTCCTTCAGGTTTTCCCTGTGTCCAGTCTGGACTCTGGAGTCTCTCTCTATATATTGTTGTGTACTAGATCTTCCTGGTCAAGTTGCAGCTAATATCTAGGATAATGAATCATTTCCCCATTTCTGAAGCTTTTAATGCTGGCACATGCAGTTCATAAATGTAAGAGCATGTGAGCAACCCTTGCTCTGAGAGGCACATCTCTTTCCCTCTATTGCTGATGCCACAAGGAACCAGAGTAAATAAAGAAAGAGGTTTATCAAATGGGAATTCAATCTTTGCTGAATCTTAAATGAGGGTGAGAGAGAGAGAGAGAGAGAGAGGGAGTAGCTATGGGAGCAGTAGTCGGACACAAATGCTGCTATTTAATTTGTGCAGTTGGTTGTGGGTAAAGGGACCCTCCTTGCCGTTTGATTTAGACTACTCTTCTGCGGCATTGGTTTGGTTAGCTTGGTAACCATAAGAGAGTTAGCTTCATAGACTAAGCAAGAGTTGTTGTTTTGCGTTGGAGTTGTACTAGTAGCGGTAGTGCACATAATCTGAGTTGTAATAGTCTGGACTAGTAGTAGACTAGTAGTACAATCATAGTTGTAATTGTAGTAATTATTTTTCAGAGTTATAGTCGTTGTTCTTTGCAGATGTAGAACTATGAGTCTATGACTACTACAATTTATGGTTGTGTTTTTTTTTTACAGTAAAAATCATACTTTATTCCACTTCAACTCGAGAACCAATTACATTGATAAAAGGAAATCAGAAATTAAGTCAAGAATACTAATCCAGTTAACTGGGAGAGACGATCTAGCAAGAGAACGGGCAACCCAATCCGCTCTAACATTAAATTTTCTTGAAACAACTTTGACCTTCACTTGAGGGTTCGACCGAAGGATAGAGACCATTGATCCAATCCAAGCTGATCCCCTCCATGGCCAACCACGATGATCATGATCGAGAGCTTTGACCAACACCTGGCAGTCAGACTGGACAACACATTCAGTGCCATATTCTTGAGCTAATTTTAGACCTTCCAAAAGAGCTTTTGTCTCGGCTTCGAGCGGGGTGGAACAAAGGAGAGTATCAGCTCGCCCATCACAAACTTGTCCATGGTGGTTAGTGACCACAACACCATATGCCGCCGGCTGGGAGTCGCTTAAGAACGACCCATCACAGTGAATCACCAGATTATGATTGCTTGGCGGTGGAGAAGTGAGTGAGTGGGGTCCCCTGAGCTGAGGAGGAGGAGGAGGAGGAGAATCGGAGGGGGGGGGGGGGTTCCTCGGGCAAGTTGTCCATTCAATGAACTCCTTGTAAGTACGCAATTATATAGAAACATGATTTTTGAGATATTCAATTATATAGATCATTATGTCGATTTGTTTATGATTTGCGACTCTGAATGCATTTTGGACGTTTTTTGAAATTATTTGAGTATTTTGAATATGAGATTAAAGAATCGCTAGTTAGTAAAAATGAGTTTAGTTTATATTATGTAATTGTGAGGATTTTCACATTAAGTAAAGGGTAAATACAATTTATTGGACAAACCTTTCGAACTTTTCAAATTATTAACCAAACCTTTCAAAATACAAAATATTAGACAAATGTTAACTTTTTTATATGATTTTTGTTAGTAATATTGACCTGACAACATGATACTGACTTGGAAGAGACACGTGAATGTCAACATTCTAATTTTTTAGTATTTTAACTAGAAAATGAGTTACATAATTACTAACGGTAACAAAAAAAAAGGATAATATTTTGATGTGTTACAAAAGATTGGGCTAATAATTTAAAATGTTTGTGTTTACACCAAAATAAATCTCATTAATTGTTAGACGTATGAACAATTTGGCCACTTAATTGGTCCATATGTACTTGGTTGGTTCAATTTATCTGGTTGGACGTAGATTTGGTGGATAGTAGCTCGGTTTGAGATAACCATCCAATATGGTTAAAGTACCAACCATGGTAGCCATCCAACCGTATAGTGGATGGTACTATCCCATATGCAATTGATTCAATCCAAACCTTATTATGGATGGTACCAACCCATTTATCATGGATACCATCTCAACCCTATATTGAATAATATCATCCCAAACATCATGGATACCATCCCACCCCTAATGGATGATACTAGGGGTGGGAAACGGTTTGGTCCGGTTAAAACCGGACCGAATTAACCCGATTTTTTAAAACTGTATTGACCAAAGTAGCAACCGGAAATTGGATTGGATGGGAACCCGGTTTCAACCGGCACCGGACTGGATTGAATCCGGTCCGATCCGGTTTCAACCAAAAAACTGAAATTCTCCCTTCTCCCTAAACGCCACCGTTTCCATCCCTTTAATTTTCTCCCAAAAAATTAAAACATCTGCACCATCCCAAGGACCCCAACCCCATATTGCTAAATCTCATTTTCTCTCCCTCCGTCTTTCTTTCTATCTATCTCGCCGTCGGAGTTCACTCTGGTCTCTCCCGCCGACGCAACTATCACCACCATCCCCGCGTCTTCCTCGTTGCCATCGCCATCTCCGTGTCTTCCTCACCGTTGTGTGTTCCCTCTCCGTTTCTCTCCCCTTTCACTTGTTGTTGCTTCGTTGATGTTGTTGCATGATCCGATCTGGAGGAGATCGAGACAGAGGGTGCAGATCGGAGGCGGTCTTCATTGTCATCACCGTCTTCTAGAGCAGCGACTAGACCTCGGCGGCTTAGCCAGAAGGGGGCATCACGGTGTCGTTGGGGAAGAGAAGTGAGTCGGCGGTTGCTTCGATGTCTGTGTGGCGATCTATTCGTATTCTCCTACTCATCTTCTTCTTCGAGAGCAGAGAGCAAAGAGAGAGAGAGAGTCGCGACGCGGCAGTGTGGTGTGGTGACTGGTGAGGTCGTGAGGGAGGATAGTGCTAGGCTGGGGCGATTAGGGTTTTACGGGTTGGGCTTTGGTAACTGGGCTTTTGGGTTGGGATGTAATGAGAGTTGAGAGGGCTTCAGAGGTGGGCTTGGACGCTGGGCTGGGCTTGGAAAAGAAGGGCCAGTTTTCCGGTTTTTCCCGGTTTTAACCGGGGTACAACTGGTACGGTTTTTCCCTAAATAACAGCAACCGGAATCCGGACCAGACCGGGTTGTATCCGGTTTTCGGTTGTGACCGGGACGGTTTAAACTGCCCAGTTTCCGGTTTGACCGGAAAACTGGGACCGGATTCTCAGCCCTAGATGATACCATCGCAAATATAATGGACACCATCCAAACTCAAAGTGGATGGTGTCATCGAATAACATGGATACCATCCAACCTCAAAGGGATGATATCATCTCATATCATGGACACTATCCAAACTATTAAATTGATGGTGTCATCCATGTTATGGTATGGTGACCATCTAGTATGGTTACCACCTATGGATTGTTGTCTTAGTCAACATAGATACCATCCAAGTTGATTGGTGTATGTGACCATCCAATGGTCCATACATTTGGTACGCATGGTTGATTGTCTAGTGACATGATGATGTGTCGAAGGTGGTCACCTGTAGCAGCAACTGACTAACAAAGGACGCTCGTAGAGGAGTTAGTGGATGCTACGTGGAGCTTATTTCAGGAAGAGATAGAGAAGGTGGTTAGAGGATGAGGCACAACAAAACTTGCAACAAGCTTCTAATGGTGATATAGACAAATCAAACCAACAAGTCTCGTCAAATTTTATCTTTCTCTCTCTAGAATATTAGTCGTAGCAACAGCACCAGAGACCCTCCACGAGGCTTCTCTGTAGTTGGAGCAGTAATTTGCGAGCTCTCAAGGAATCTCCATAGGAGTAGAGGTAACAGTTAGCAGATCCTTTGATGTATGCATCGAACACCCTCGTTCGAACAATGTTTGAAGATGTGTGAATTGAGTAACATCGTTTTAAAATTTTCTTGAAGTCGAGATGCATTGATCACGCGAAATTTACCAAAAACAGTTTGAAAGATTTTATTAATAAATTGTATTTGCCCTTAATAAATATTAAATACAGAACAAACATTCAAAATTATAATTCTCTCTCCTCTCTCACTTCTCTCTCTAAGCTCGGCCGAACTCCTCCCCTCTCTTTCTCTTTCTTGTTCTTCCCCTAATCTTCCCCTAAATTCTATTATTCGAATCCCTAATCTCACAACAACCCAATTTTCCTATTATCCCCAATTGATGGTCCCCTTTTCTACTCTTCTTTGGTCGGCGGCCACGGTTGCTTTTGCTTGCCGATGAAATGCATGCATCACTCTTTTACTCCTAGGAAATGCTTTGTTCTCTGACAATTCTTAGGCAATTTTATTACCAACCCGTGAGAAGTTAATTGAATCAAGCCAAAAAGGAAATTCCAATGTCTTTGTTGCTTTTTATTTGGTTTTTCTAAAGAATGTCATGACTATCTTGCTGATTTTTAACATTTTATTTCTCTCAAACCAACTCTTATGAGATTAGGTGGAGAAAATTTAACAGATGTTGCAATGATGGTGAAAACTCAGTACGACAGAAGAAGTATCACAAATGTAAGACCCTTTTCATCCGAAAAATATCTTACAATTTCTAAATTTGGTCCCTACAACCAAATCATCAATTTTAGCAATTTCTATTCGTTAACATTCTTAAAATATATTAGCGATTTCTAATTTGGATCCCACCGACTATTTAAATTTATCAAATACTAGACAATTGAAGAGATGGTCTAACTAAGAAAAATAGAAAAGAAAATAATTACAAACGTGACATTGCTAGAGAACTTTGCAAATAAGCAATCTTGCTAATTTAGCAACAACCCCTCCGTTACTAGCAATTGCTAAAACTTTCCCACATAAGCTCTGCCTCACTTTAATAATTGCTAAAATTTGGGGATTGAGATGGTCTGAGAGGGCATACCCTTTGTCTTTGTTATGAATATGCGTGTTTATCATTTGATTGCAAATGAAAAACATGTTTCCCTATCTTACAAGTAAATAAGAACATATTTAAACTTCGGTGCACTAGTTTAGACACAAGAAAATTCAGATCAACTTCAACGATTACCACTTACTATAGTAGTTGATGAAAGCAACGAACTCTTTCGATCAAGTCATTATAAACTATTTGTGGGCCAAAGAGTTTGTTGGACTAGCAATTGATACTAGGCAAGTTGGATTCAAGCTCAAACTTAGAAGTAGAAATTAGCTTTGTCAACATGTTGGCCGATTTTCATATGTCCACGCATCTTGTTGACCTTCGTGTCACGTCTAATGTAGTGAAACTCGCATCAACGTGTTTTATTCCATTATTGAATATTCCATAAGATAAATAATGCTTCAAAAATCAAAAAGTGTTGCAGTGCATTATATACTTCTGAAGCTCGGTGAAGAAAATGTGTATCCAATAAACTTCTTTAGAAGCTTTCAAAATAGTCATATACTTGACTTCTATAACAGACAAGTTGAAAATAACTTGTAGACTTGTCTTGTCAAAATCTATAGCTAAATCTGAGAGAATCCTTTTCAAGTACTCCCAAATAGTAGAAACTTATTATTGTAAGTGAGAAAGCTTCAACTAATAGAGCAATCACATGTTGGATAGTGTACATATCAAGACTATGAGGTACATTCTCATTTCTCATCATATCATTTGATTTAGCTACAATTTTTCAAATTGTCTACCTTTGACGACCTCCATGTCAAAAGTCTTTTTGTTGCACCGAGATCCTTCATCCCAAATTCTCTATCCAATTGTGCCTTCAACTTAATGATATTTGCCTTATCTTTTTGTAGGAATCAACATAACATCAATACATAGGAGGGAGAGAGGATTTGGACTATAAATCTACACAATATATAATAGCATGAAGGGAAAACTGTTGCTCAATTTCAAATTTCCTGCAACGAGGGTGAAAGTAGGAAGGACATTTTGGTCTTCACAATTACTTTTTTTTTATTAATTAAAAAGACATGTACTGGGAGCCATGACCACTTTAAAGAAGAGCAAGGATCATAACCAATCACACTAAGTACATTAATTGTATCCTTTTAAATTAAAAACATATAATAGCGAGGAGGAAAAAACCCTTCCCCATTTCAAATTCTCTGCTCCAGGAGCGTTTGTGCGAAGGGTAGAATAGGGAGTGTCAATTTTTTTCTTTTTCCTCTGTGGAACGGGTCAACTTACCGTACACATGCGGATTTAAACGGTCCAGGAGTGTCAATTTTTTTCTTTAAGCCCTTTTATTTCTCCGTGGTGGTAAAATATATATGAAAAGGCAAAAACAATACTCCTTTTTATTGAAAAAAAAAATTGGCAATAAACTAATGCATGGATTGTAATGGGCTAACCGCTAACCATAAAATAAAAGAGTTGAATGAGTATAACCTACACGGAATTTGACCATCAAATATATTAAATAAACATCATTAGTTTTTCTTTCTGAAACAAGCTATTTTCTCTAGTATTTTTAAAAATAGACATAACTATGATAATTAGACTTCCAAGTTCCTTAGAGTTCATGAAATTATTACACCTTGTTCCTCTTCCTCCCAACACTAGTATTTATCATTCACGTTTTTCCCCCCAACAAGGAAGCTCCATCCCATCAAAGACTGTTTTACAAGCTAAACTTATTACAGACGTGAATAATAAGATCCCTGATAGTAATCCATTCATGAGGTAACGTTCTTCTTGCTGCTTTGTTTGCCATCCAATCTACGTCTTTGTTGAGTCGCCTGGAGATGAATAAAACAGAGATATTATATGCTCCAATATTAGATCCTTCTATTTAAAACTATCCCTTTCACATTGCATACCCTCGGATTTAGTTACTAATGATTGCTTGTGATGGTTCTTCTTCCTACCAATACATGACCAGACTCTCTGATCTCTGCCAAGCCCCTAAATTGCGCCAACTGAAAGAACTCAAAAGAGGGTGAATATGACTCAGATGAAACAAGTTACATACACGTAGAGTTTTAATCCTCAGAACCTCCCCATTCACTTTTCATGAATTTTCACAGATCAAGGAAGGGAGTGCAGCAAAAAATGACTACAACAGGCCGGAAATGGAGACACAAGTGCATGCCCTCTATGACAACTACCAAATGTCAATTCTACCATCAAGCTGCAGCAGCTGCTTCAACTGCCTCGCCCTTCTGGCCCGCTTCCTTCAGTTTCTTCCAGTTCTCTGCAGTATCGATGATCTCACCTGTCTTGATCAAGTACCGGACTCGCGTCCCATCATCCAGCACCTTGTGGCCCACCCGGCTCGCCACGTTCTGGTCTTTTGAGTACAGCATTACGTTTGAGCTGTGAAGGGGTGCTTCAATCTGGATTATGTGGAGATGCAGGTCAAGTTGGGTCTCAAAGACAGCAGAATATGGAAAGGAAAAGAAAAGAAAAAAAAATCCTCCTTGCACAAGAGAGCTTAAGTTTCTGACAAACAAGAAATGCAATATCCAAAACAGTACTACACATACAATACTCTTGTCTTTCAGAAATATTAGAATGCAATGAAATAAAGTCAGAAGCCTTTCAGAACTCATGCATACTGCAGAGAAGATTTGCTACTCATGTGTGTAGTATTGTTTCGGTTCAAGAGATAGCAAAGACTGCATTATACATACAAAAAGATTGCTTATCCCAAGTCAATTTTGTTGCATTTACGAAGAGATAAATGTAACATATGATGCTATACTGTCTCTACAGTTTTCTTAAGGATGTGATAATAATCATTGATTAGCCTACCAAAAGTACCATGGTGGAATCACCTTAATGATTTGGCCAGGTTCATCCTGTTCTCTGCTCTTCATATGCTTCGTCTTTAAGTTGATATCTTTGACGACCACAGTGCTGTTGTGCCTGAAGATCTTTGTAATCTCTCCAACTTTCCCTTTATCGTCTCCCGCAATCACTTTCACCGTATCTCCCACCTTGACATGCATCTTGTGCAAAATTGGAAGGCTGTTTGGTTTGCACTCCTTCCGCTCCCATCGTTTTAGCTACAAGTAAGCAAGAGACAGACATACAGCACAATTCATTAATATAGGGTTGCCCTCAGGTTGAAAACAGGAGGTCCTAAATTCAGCAAATTTCTCAATCTCCCCTTAGTCACAGGCTCAAAGCTAACACAAACTCCTGTTGTTCAAATGGACATTGCACTATCTCATCTTCTCCATAATCTTATACTTCAACTGTGAGCCAATAGAAAAATCACTACAGCTCTATATGATGGAGAAAGGCCCTACCTTTACAACAATGAGACATGGCTTCTCCGGCGACTTGACCTGCGCCGGGGAACGTAAAGCAGATAAGATCATCGTCAAAACACATTAATCAAACTTTCTCACATTGCAAATTGAACAACAAATTGACAAGGGCAAATTGCTCAAAACACACAGTACACAATTGACTGAAACAGCTCACCCATCCTTGCTGAATTTCCGCACGGGAAATCAAGAATCGAACAATAGCAGTGGAATTTCAGATGGGTACATGAAGGAATCGAGGAATGTCAAGAAGCTAAAACAAAAGCACAGAAATTTGTTTGGGGGAGAAAAAAATGGCGTACAGTTAAAGGGGAGAAGGTACACGGAAACGAGAGGCGGTCGCCGAAGAAGGAGCTTGAGGATATCGAAAGAGAAGCCATGGAGGCTTGAATTGCAGCTGTGGCTGCCATTTTCGCTCTGCTGTAATGCTGCTGGCCAGCTGCTGCTGCTTCTTCGTCTTCCTCCTTGCAGTTCTTGCGATTGATAGAGTTGAGTTCAGAAGATGAAGGAACGGATAACGCCTGCTCGGCGCTCGCTATCTAGCAGTTGCCAGACGACAACCTTCGCTGCCGTATTAAGGATTAGTCCCTCTCACATTGATTTGGGCTTAGCCCATTGGTCTACCAAACTGGGCCTTGATTTGGGCCACCGTCACAAATTTATCCACGTGAAACTAACGGGTACGGCCCTCAACCAAGATATCCACTTCAGCCATCTACTTTTTCTTCCTCCTGCAGAATCATAGCTCCCAAGCTAAGCTAAGGAGCACTCCAAATGTTTTTGGAACAACGTTGTGGTAGGAATAATTGGCACAAATTCGATTTTTTTAACTAATAAATTAAAATCTTAATTCCATAACGATCATATAATGAGGAATGATTGATGAGATTGTGTGATTGATTGATGAGATTGTGTGATTGATTGTTAGTAAATCAGTTGATAGAATTGCATGAAAAAACTAGGTTATGTGCATGAATACAAATTGACTTGAGTAATTAGTTAAGAAAACTTGTGTAAAAATTAGGATATGTGTGAAAATTGTTCAGATTCTCTTTTTCACAACTTAGGTCAATGTGAACCATCATCCATCCCTTAAAACCATGAACGTATTTCATAACCAAAAAGTCTCGGCACACTAATCACGATCTTTAAAGTTTAAAGAAACATCTAATTTTGTCTACAAAATCCTCTTAATTTCAGGTGTATACTAAGCGAATCACAAATTGCATATAAAAAAGCGAACTGTTATTTTGAAAATTCTAGGAATTAATAGAAACAGCGGTAACACGACTCGTGTGGATTTATCGCGTCTTACTTGATAACAAATTTCAAGTGTCCATTTTGTATCATAGAAAACGGGATCCAAATACATAACTCTATATTTATCATTTATGTAATGCTACTAATTTTTACGCAATAAATAAATTTTAACAGGTTATATATATGTCCCAAAAATTGTAATATCCCCTCTTTTTGTTGTGTGCGCATGAACAAAAGATGGTGCCTCCAAGACCAATACACATGATGTTTCTCTTCACCGCACATGCTGCATGCAAATGGAATAACGTGTATGATCCGCCATCACGTGATGAGGAACATTCCCACTCAGTTGGAAGGCTGTCAAGTTGCCTGGTCGGTTTTGTTGTCTTGTTGCTGTATATCCATGAGAAAGGTTTTTAGAGGTGCCACCATCACCTAATTCTCGCAATTTGGTATTTATTTCATGGCGCATGAAACCGTATCGGAGGTCGTACAGGAAAAAAACAATAGTGATAGGATATTGTATAGCAAAATCGTGGTTTAATTGTAGTTCAATCGTTTGTAACGTTAAATACTATCTACTGTTTCATCCTACTGGTATTTTATGGTTGAACCGCGCCGGTAGGATATGGTTTCTTGGACCATGATTCATTTACGCGATTTAAGAGGTCGTTTGGTTTTGGGTGATAGTTAAATCGATGTATTGTCATCAATGCATGCATAATAATATACATGTATATAAGAACATCGGTGTATTGTAGTTCACATCGTTTGGTTTCTGTGATAGTTATTGTAGTATTTAAATAAATAATATCACTTTTTGGGTGAAATGTCACTTTTACCCTTTGTTTTCAATATAAAAAAACAACACTCATAAAAAGGTAGGGATATATTTGGAAGAAGAAGAAAACACAACAATCTCCATCAAACAATCTCAGCGGAAACTTGAGATTTAACTATCACTCAAAAGTCAAATCAAGCAAGCAATACATGTATTGTTTGCGCAAAAAATTCATAAAAAACAATGTATTGTAGACATTGCATGCATTATAACTATTGCAATCAAACTATCGCCAAAACCAAACTAACCCGGTTTATTCGGGCAAAGAAAAGAAATCACTTTTCTTTAAGTTAGTATCTCTAGAAGAAAAGAGAGCATTTTCCTATATCCATTTCCATTCCATGACCACCACTGCGACCAGATCCATCAATATAAACACGACGATGGCGGGCCACTAGCCAAAGAGTTGGCTGGTCTGTTTACTGCTCCATTGAAATTTCAACCTAAACACGACGATGGCGGGCCGCTCGAAAATTGCAGCAGCATACAAGAATCGACAAAGGGAGATGACACATTATCACCACCAGTACACATAGGACGGCCAGTGTTCATTTACTCGAGGCATTTCAATATACAAAATCAACTGGACGTGTTGTTTCATAAAAAAAAAAAAAAACCCATCAAATCTTCAGAGCACCTCATTCTTTTACATATGAAATGTATGTACGCTTTTTTGGCCCAAACTCTCTATCCACTGTTTCATTTCTTGGAGTTTAGTGGACGATAGGCAAAAGACCTTAGCCCCACCGACTTCCTTCCCCGCCCGAGCTGTCCGTACCTCCCCTTCCCGATCTTGCCCCAAAATCGGCAATCAGAAATCAGAAACATTGACCATGCCTTTCCTTCACCGCCTTTTCCCCAAAATCAGTCTGTACATCTTTTCAGTGTTCCAACCTGCTCTTCCTGATTACCCACTCCCTTCACCATTGGCCACACACGCCACCGGCCATCAATTGTGCCTCCCGCTTTGCTCCCCTCAATTCAGGGAAGATTGATGTCCTCTGTACTCCCAAACACCGGATTTGTTGGCCGCTTCCCCGATAAGAGCATCCCGGCCGCACCCCTTTTCATCCATCTGTCTCTGTTGCCGTCTTATCAATTGCAGCGACCATGCTTCTGTATCCCCCGTCCTCCCCAAAATCTGCTTTTGCAAGCTACTGCATCAATCATCTCCGGCCCCCACCATTCTGGTTTGCTTCTCGATGTCGAACTCTGAAAACCTACTCAAACACTTCAGCGCCCATAATTTTTCTACATAGGTTCTTAGCCTTCGAGGGAAGACTTTTTCTCCGTCGACCCACCTTTCAATTCGATTCTCTTTTTATCTGTTCTTGGTTTAGCACCCAATTCTTCGGCCAAACCTCCTCCCATTCTCCCTTTTCGTGTCAAATACCTCTTGCACAAGCCCCGCGCCATTAATCATTTCGAAGTCCAATTCTGATTTATTCTTACCGCTGCCAGCGCGACAAGTTAATGGTTGCTGTGATTTTCCACTCCGGTCCTGCTTCACATGAACAACTAGCAGAGCGTATCATAGTGAAGGAGAGAGATGGCGTAGAAGATGGATTAAGTTCCACGGCGGCGAAACCTGCCCAGTGCTCACCTAAGGAACCCCCATGGCGACGAAGATGAGCCGCAGCTGATCATTCCTTGAAAACTGGTTCAGTTGCGTCAACCTTTGGTTAAGACTCACGGGCTCTCTTCCTTTTCTTAGTTTTGAATGGCAGTAAGTATTGTAGAGAGAGACTGGCGGTGTAAAAGATATATTATATTTGTTGTTGATTAGGGGTGGCTGGATGAATATGTTGTTTGATGTGAGTTTTATGCTGCTGCAAGTAGGAGGATAGACAACTGTGTCACTACTTTTGTTGAAATCGAAGATACAAGCAATGGTAAGTGATTTCCTGTGCCTTTTAAGTTAGTGGATGGATACAATACAAGCAATGGTAATCCTTTTTTACTGTTTAGGTTTCTAATTGCTTCCTTTCTTTCTGAGTTGCGTAAAATTTCGTTTGAGACCAGGGTAGCGGTTATTCGTGAATGCTATTTGTTGTTTCATTGGTTTACATTTCCTTTGCTCTTTTGTCAGCTAGTTGCTCTCTGATGCCAGCTCTAATTCCGACTACTACATTCGGAAAAAATTTGTGCTTAGTTCGCTAGAAATAACCCACTTGGCACTTTTGTTGGCTGAAAATCTAATGATATTTGAGATTTTGATGCCAGTTTCAAAGCACCAGATGGACTTGGACAAAATAGAGCAGTAATGGCAGAGGGCTGCAGGATGAACGAAAGGAACATTGTGTGATAAGTTTGTCATTGAAAGGTAAGAGATAACCAATGCCTTTTGTTTTTTGTGAATTCTGATGTACTGCCAGTAAAAGGACTTCGAATTTTAATTATTTTTAACCTTTTCATGCTTAAAGGTGGGGTTTCCTTTCATCTATCTTGCAATTGCAGGGATCAAGCTTAGGATTATGAGGTTTAACTGGTATTTGGAAAGTGGCAATGCAAAAATTGCCAAACTTTCTTTGTGGTTTGCCTAAAGGAGAACTATATAAGACCACGAGGTTAAAGGTAATTAAATTCACCATATTGCTATTTTGCTTATATAGGCGCTTTTTATTAATACATGGTTGTTCTTCCTTGATCCATAATATTGATATATGTTGTTAAATTTTCTTTATTTTGAACAATTCATTTGCCTCTTTAGCGGATATGGTTGTTGGATGAACCTGAATGGATGGATGTCTACAAGCCTTACAGGTGGTTGAGCTACTTGCAAACAATGATTTCTCTTGACAATATGTTCTTCACGTTTCTTATGGAGAAGCTCCCTTAATTTTAGTTGATATTGTGTACTAACTAAACTTAGCACTGGCTTTCGGCCCAGCTTGGAGATTGCTTTTGAGAATGCCATACTAAATATCCAGCTACTATTAACTTAAGTTATTATTGTTGCCGTCAAGATTTAATACCATACTTAATTTTTGTCATGAAATCTCTCAAATCAAGTCTGTTGCTTGCTATTGAGGATTGATTTCAATGTTTATGGTCAAAGGTGAACATTTAGGATGAAGAGAATGCAATACCCTATCCAACTTTGCTATGTCATGATGATCAACAAAGGCCAGGATCAGGTTCTCGATAGAGTTGGAGGGTTCTTGCCCAAACCCGATTTTAGTTACAACATTTGTATAATGTTACCATTTCTCATGTAGATCAGCCGAGAGCCTTAAGTTCCTTATACATGTTGATGATATTGATAAGTTCATTCTCTTGGTGCACGTGTGATTGCTCTAAGGAGTATATTTTAGTTTCCCATTGTCATCTCATCAACTGGCATGTTGCTTAACTGATGACATTAATTAGTGAGAACATAAACAAAATATGAAAGACTAAATAGAAAAGGATGTTGAATACAATTTTCAATGACGGAAATTAAATTTGCATATCATGCTAAGTTACCAACACACCACTGGTAGGCATACACGTTCTTCTTAGTGACATTAACTGTTTGGACCACCTCCTTAATACTCTACAGACTGTAGAATGATGTTGATGCAAGTTTAGTCCCTGCGGCGTAGCCGCGAGTATCGATTCTAGTACCTTTTGAAGTGGCGGATGATATTTTAATGAGAGTTTTTGGGATCGCTGTCTGCCCCAAACCAGATTCATTCCGAGAGCGAAATGATGGGGAAGAGAGAAAAGGCAGATAAAACAAATGATGGTTAGGCTGAAGAAGTAGACTAAAAATCTTAAGTGGAACTGTGGAAGCATGCGATGAGGCTTCTTTTGATGGTGTAGAAATGCAGCAATCAAACTATTTAATTAAGCCTTTCTCGAGGAAAGGTAGGTAAGAGTTTATATGGCTGAATTTTGACCTTATTATCCAATTTTTGTGACAAAATCATCTTGCCATAAACTCGAGAGTGTAACTTATAGGCGAGTCAAATGTTTTTAAGAAAATATCTTGTGATTTGGAATTTGGTGGAACACGAATTTAGTGTATTTGGATGTCTCTAAAAACTATAGATTTTAAAAAATTTGAAAATTATTGATCATGCATATTATATAATATAATGAATTAAGTGTTTTGGTTCATAAATTTTGACACAAGATGCTACACTCAGACTTACACACTTTCGTCGAGGACATGAGTCGAAATTGAATAATTAAACCATTATTAATTGACATGATAATTGTTGGGAGCTTTCATCCAAATTTTATGATAAGTTTAACCAAGAGTCAATATTTCTTAACTGATTGAATGATTTTTTTTTTTACTTAAGGCATATGTATTATTATGTATATTAGCAAATCAGAAAAATCATTGACTTAGCTAGTCATTTGTGCTTGGTTGAGAAATTATCCAATAACAATTTTTTTGACAAAAGATAATTTTGTAGTGATTAAAAAAAAATATCCACACATCACACTCTAGTATATGTTACAAGAAAACCCTATCCATCAAATACATAGGAGACCCAAAACTTCTAACCTTGTGATCATGTCTTCTCCCTCTGCTTTGCATACTAACAACCAAGCCAAACTCATGTACAAATCAAAACAATCAAAAAGAACCAAGAAGAATAGACCAAGCATGCAATGAGAATGCATCATCTGAACTTTCACAAAGTGTCAATACTGTCCATGGACTCCTCCCTCCGGTGTTGGCGTTCAGATGTCGGCGTCTTGACTTCAGGCAGCTCGATGTCGATGGAAACTTCCTCCGGTGTGGCAGAGAGGAACAACTTCCTCAGCTGGTGCTTCCTGTTGTGCCTAGCCTTCAGGATCCTTGACAGCACCTGCACTGTGTCCCTCATCGAGGGCCGCTTTCTTGGCACGCGCTGTATGCATTTGTACGCAAGAGCTGCGACTTCGTTCAGCTCTTGCATATCGAACTTACCTTCCAGGCGCGAGTCCACTATTTCCTCCCACCCCACTTTTCCATCGGAGTTCATTGCTGCCTGTCGAAGTAAACCAACACACAGACCACAAACATGTGCTTATTGTTCATGTTATAATGATGGCTGGTAATAAGGATTAGAGAGAGAGAGAGCATACAAGCTCAACGTATTCCATGAGACCCTGCTGAGGATTTCTGCCGGCTATAAGCTCAAATAGCAACACCCCGTAGCTGTAAACATCGCTCTTCTTTGTGAATGTCCTCGTGGATATATACTCAGGATCAAGGTATCCGAAAGTTCCCCTTATGTTGGCAGCGTGTTTATCGACCATCTCTTCTCTCGATAGTCCAAAGTCAGCCACCTACTTATACCACGCACCGCACATACAAACGAGAGTCCAACTAGTTAATGCCAAGGAAAGTACAAAAAATGAGTGATCCAGTATAATGTTGGGATCTGATCAATGCATTAGAAGACTTCATACCCTGGCTCTCATTGAGTGATCCAACAGAATGTTGGATGACTTAATGTCTCGGTGAATCACAGGTGGCACTGCCTAAAGAAAGGAATAGGGTGTTAAGCATACAGAGTATAGCGTGGCTTAAATTGGTAAGTGCAGAAGAGATGTGCACACAATGAAAAGAGTCTAACTAAAAGAGAGAGGCTCACCCCATCATGGAGATACTCCAAGCCTCTTGCAACATCTAGAGCAATATTAATCCTTACATCCCACTTCAATGGTTCATGGTTTTCACCTGCTTGGAGAAGGGGGAAAAAACGTCATTTCAAGGAAACTATTCTAACCCTTCTTCTAGGCTTTCAAAATTTGTGAATCAAGGTAAAACCAGCCTTCTTCAGTTCCTCTGCTGTTTAGCTATATTCTTCTCTTGAGCAGATCGATAAATCTTACAACAAAAGGTTGAAGAGTTCACACCAACTTACTGTACAAGTGAGAAGATAAGCTCCCTTTGGTCATATACACATATATGAGTATGTGTCTCCCTTTCTCAGAACAGTACCCAACCAAATTGACTAGGTTTCTATGATGCAACCTTCCCAGTAGCATGACCTAGAAGCAATGAAAAAGGAAAGTAGTGAGTTAAATAGTGCTCACTGATGTGGATTGGCACTAAGCCTCCGGAATTAAAAAGATTTCTCAGTGAAGATTAAATTGTTAGAATGTCTTCAATGCCACTTATGTCCCTCAAACCCAAACCCACACCACTCCACTAGCTGTTGCAAGAGGTTAAGCTGACTACTAGCCTTACTAAGCTTAACCTACATTAGCACGGACCCTATATACTGTCAGAAATGAAAATCATAGTGTCCCTGCCAAGCATATTGTCCACGAAAACCAAGTAGAAAGAAGCAAATTCACTAAATTCCATGGAAAGTTGAATAAGCAAGTTGTAATAATATTCTTCACAATTAACAGGCAATGCTTTTAGAGCAACTGCAGTATCTGTCCTTCCACTAACTCCGGATTTACGGCATTACCTCGGTCCGAAACTCTTTCTCCCCTTGTTTAGAATCGGTGGCCAGCACTTTGGCTGCTACAGTTTCGCCAGTCAACATTTGAGCTTTATAAACAGAACCAAATGCTCCTTGTCCAATCACTGTAGTGAAGTTACTTGTCGCTTTCTGGAGATCCCTGCATTGTGGTGAGGTTATCATTATGAATAAAACCACAGGCAAAGAGCTACATCAATGACCTAACAGCCAGAGGTGATGACTACACCAATACATGTAGGTCATTGCACTTTGTTTCCTTATGCAACCAACATAAGGAAGAACACCTTTAAATATCAAGCAAAGGGCAAAGAAGATTGTGAGAGGAGGATGAGAAAGGGAACCAGTGAACATACTTGTAAGAGTACTCGGGTATGCCAGAAACCGACACACCATTGCTCTTCTTAAAGGTTTCAAGCCAAAAGGAGAGCCCATTTCTACCCCCGGATTTCATAGGCGAATCGGGACCAACAGTTGAATCTGACATGATGGTACTAGCATCACCACCATTTTCTCTGATAGGTATCGTGGCTGCTCTCCTAGAACTGCTGTTACCAATCTGGGATCGCTTCCTGTGGTACCTAAAACTGAAGAACGCCAGAATAGCCAAAAGCACGCCAATCACCACCCCAATTGAAATCCCAATGATCAACTGAGATGATTCCCCTTTCATATCTCTCTGTCTCTTTCCTTCTGCTGCTGCTACTTGCTACTACTCAAGCTTCCAATCCATGCCATCATAACCCTGCAACTCATCACCAATTCACCGTGTTACTACAAAGGATAAACGATGCAATTTCCATCGCCTGTCACAATTCTAGAGTTTGACCTTTCAATTACAAGCCAATTCTCAGATTGGTTGGGACTAAAATTTGCTCACGTACCTGTCACTTCTTCTATCCAATGTTACTATTATTAATATTGTCGTTGTTTTAAAATCAGCAAATGGTTAACTGGAAAAGTCAAATGCAGAACATGTGTGATGTGTCCAGCATTCTCCATAAGCGAGAGATCTCTTTCTTTTTTTAAATGAGAAAATATCAACTGCAGCAGATGGATTTTCTCTGAATTGTTCAACCCAGTGCAGAAACCCAACACAAGCACAAATTCTGCAACTTTTTGCCAAAATAACCCTAGCAAAGAGCAAAATTCACTAGTAGAACGCAAAGAGCAGCAGAGCAGAAATTTGGAAAATGAAGGTTGGATAAGACCAAAGCGAACTGTCCTTTGTTTCCCGTCCTGGAGTTGAAAACTAAGGAATCACGGCAAGAGGGAATTTGGGTTTAGTACTGACAATAACAACACAACCTTAAATGGCACCTTCCGAAGAAAGTAACCAATCAATCCGTGCAAACAGAAACACGTATGAATTGATTGAACATTTCTTTCTTTGACTGCACGTTTGCTTGTTCTGGGTTTGTCCGCCCCTCGACTTAAATGCCATAAACCGTATGGGTTAGAAACCGCTAACAACAAAGTTAGTGAAGAAAACAGATGGGATATGGGTCAGCCTCTCAGCCATTAATCTATGTTAGTTTAACAAGAACAAACTGAAATCCCACCCAGATATCCTAAACCCAAATCCACACTGCAACTCGTGCATTTTCAACAAGGGGGAAAGAAAGAAGAACACGTACAGTTGAAGAAACTGACAGATCAAAGGCGTAAGGAAGTCATTTCAAGATAGAAACATTTCTCCAGAATTGGGGTTTTTGCCCAGAGAAGAGAATTTACCTGCCGGTCGTCGTCGTCTTCGTCTTCGGTAACTCTTGGAGTGAAACAGCGTATTACTGGACCTCTTTGAGGAAATGCGAGAAGAGCAAAAAACCCAAAAGAGAAGGAAGAAGAGAAATGCCCGGAGTGGGATTGAAGCAAAAGTGAGTGACGGAAAAGGATCGAAGGAGCAAGGAAGGATGGACCCAGTTTGGAAAATTGAATTTTGAAAAGAGAGTGAAAAGGGAGAGGGCGTAGGAGATACGATTTGCTTGCTCGATGGCAATGGAAGAGAGCAGCAGAGTCAGACAGAGAGGGATTTTCAGACAAGGAAATGGGACGACGAGTGAGAGTGGGAGTGAAAAAAATTGTTGCTTTCGCTTTCCGGGGCTCGATACTTTTAGTTTTTTTTTTTTTAATATATTTTTAGGGGAAAAAACGCCTCAGATTTCAGAAACTCCGGGATTGCTGTAATAATAAATTAAAAAGCTGCCTCGTCATCAAATCAATAAGGAGGATCACTATGGATCACCAGTAGACCTGGCAATTTACAGTCTGACTTGTTGATCCTCCCCGAAATCGTCCAAAAAGTAAAATAATGTATAATCCGAACCCGATAACCCACAATTTTTAGGGTCGGGTTGGGTGGGTTAGCGGGTCGACCTGTTAGACCTGTTCCATTTATATATCATTCCCAAAATGATAAAATCACTCATAAATTAGTGATATGTTTAAAAAAAAACAAAGATTTAAATGACATGTTTGGAGTTTAAGGATAATAAAATACTATTTTTCTCTAGTAGTATTACTCTTGTGATTGTTTTTTGACGATTTGCACAATTTGTATTTCGTTTCATTAGCATGGGAGGATTTGAGAATATGTTAATTAACATGTGTTAGGTAAACTATTGTCATGCATGAAAATTTGTGTCCTTCGAGAAAATATGGAGCATGTTTGATATTGTTCCTGAGAGCGCTCATAACCCGAAATGACCTGTAACTCGACCCGAAACCGAATGGATTGGGTCAATATTTGACCCGAAATAAGCCAACCAAACATGACACGACCCGTAACCGAAATCCCCAACCCGAAATTACCCAACCCGACCCGATTGTCAGGTCTAATCACTAGATTCAAAGGGCATAGGTTATGTTATAATTCCAATTTTTTGTGGCAAAAATAGAAAAAACCCGACAAAAATGATTGAGCTTGGGATCTAACCTCACATGATATTGGGGAACATGACGATAATGGGTCGGGTTAGGACGGGTATCATCAAAACCGTAATTTATTTGTCGATATTTTTACATCATCAAAAATCACTCCTAAAAATGGTACATTTAAATTGTCATAAGACTTTGATAACATACACGGGGAATCAATATCATCTACAAAGTACACATCCCAGAACTAAAAGATTAAGATTATCACGAAAGATAGGATAAACGAGAATGCAGAGATAAGAAAGTGGTACATGTATTACCAGCTTTTACACGATTTTGGGGCAAATTGAATAATTATAAATTGCATCGAGCAACAAATAGGGGGTGTGCAACAGTTTGGTCAGGTTATGAGAACCACGGTTCATTAGTGAAAGATATCTTAGGATCAAGGACGGGACCATCATTGCATTCGGTCCATTTGATCCGTTTCGGTCGGATCCAAATATCAATTCGGTCCATGTTTTCTTCGGTAATTATACTCAAAACGGTCCGTCCAAATGAAGGTTTGACCTGGCACGGTTCGGTACGAACCGAAACCCCCCCCCCCCCCCTCCCCCGGTAACATCAAACATACTCAGTTGAATGAATTGGATTGCCATCCTTACCGAATAATGCTTTTTATTAATTTTCTATTAAATGCAAATAAGTTACAACTAAAAATACATAGCTTTTTGTTAAGTAACTATAAATATACTCAATGATGGGTATAAATAGGAAGAATGAAAAAAACAATCACAAACTTCTTGGTTGAATGCAAATCAAAACAAGTATAAAATGGATTAGTAATTTAAGGGTGTCCCACAAACACCCACCCCAATAGGCCCAATACCGTTTATGTCCCTGAAAAGGAGTAGAGTAGCCTCCCTTCCAACTTACAAAAGACACACATTACACATATATAACAATAGTCCCAAAAGCTGTCTAGGACTGAAATCCATGGCGCCAGGGGGGGATCCGATTCAGCGGCTTCCCGGCTTCCAGGGGTGAGGCAGGATGTTCTCCCATGTGACACCGTCTTCGTTACGACTTTCCTGGAAGACCGCCTCGTCGGTAACGTTCCAGAACGAGTGGAACTGGTACTCCCTCTGAGGATCGGCCTTGTTGTAGGCCTCGAAGGCGACATGGCGGTTGTTGTAGGCCAGGTAGCACCAGTACATGGTCTCCTTGATGACGTCGGGCTTGAATCGCCACGTGTACTCGTTGTCCACGGTCACGTAGTGTACCCCGAGATCGTCGTCCTTGGACTTGCAGTGCACCAGCAGCACTGCCTTGGGGTCGCTCAGCTCGTTCACGATGTGGACGTGATGGTAAGGCCAGAAGCTGAGACCCGCCATTACGTTCGAGGGCAACACCACCACAAGCAGCATGATCAATACGGGCAGAAACACTATTGGTTTCATGAGGAAGCTAGGAATAGTAGTAGAAGCCATAGCTCTCGATCTGGTTTTGGTGATGAAGAGCGCAAAGCTGTCTTGAGGTGGTTATATGTAGGCATTTGATGTACCATTTCCACCTCTCTTTTTAAACACGAATCGCGCGGATCGATCGAGTTGAAACAGTCTTTTTTAGACGGAACAATTTCTAAGTTTGGGGGGGGGGATTTTTTCCCTTGCTCATAATTAGATTGGTTTGACTGTAAGAAAGTGTAGAATGGAAAATTTGAACAGGAGAATATACAACACAAATGTGCATTTTTCTTTCTGACGGTCGAATGTTGGTTCCAATTCACCATCCATCGCAGAAGGGATATCGGATGTCTCGAACGTTGTTGTGCGGTACATTTTCCACAAGCTCATAGGGATGGAAACACATAGTTTCTTATCTGCTGTCCCCATTCGGCCATTACAGCATCTCCCCTGATCTCTGAGGCACTTTGCTCCTCTGCAATCACCAGCAGATTCGCGCTTTTTCAACCGACTAAGCGCTTTGATCTTGTTTGTTAGCTGTTGAAAGCAGGCAGAGCTATTGTTGCAGCATTTTGATCCTAGCTAGTGGTCCTTGGTCTCACCTTGTGCATACTAAGAAATCAGTTTAATGCAGGACATGGTCAGTAGCATTCATGATCTTATATATGCAAAATGCAGTCTCTGTTCCTCGATAATGTAAGCTTAAGATGTAATATCAGGAAGTCGATCGATTCAAGACAGACAGCGATAAGCATTAACGGCCTTCAACTTCGAGCGTGGCAGGCAGATTTAATGCCAGCTTCCTCTCTCCAGGTGGACATCATGAAACATTTTTGCAGAAGAAAATTGGGGGGGAAAATGGAATTCAGTTTTTACTAGCAAAATATAGAAATCAGGCTTCTATTAAAGATTTCACAGTTTCTCCTACCAGAGTTATCAAGCCTTACATTACGGATTTCACACTCCCGGGCTAAAGATCAGGTCTCTGAAAAACAAAAATATTCTGAATTAAGACTACGGCTAAAAATATCATAGCTGATTTACCACCATACCGAATGAAGGGAAGCGAGATGGCGCTGATGAAGCGTTCAATATGGCGGACTTTGAAGAAGAAAGGTTGGATCTTTGTGCTAGGGAAGTTGATGTTTTACAGCAAGGGGGAAGAGGGTTTGAGGGCTGAACCAAACGAGCTCCATGGGTACGGAACACATGAGAATCGCCGTTCTTCCTGCAAGTTATGGATAAAACTGGAACTGGCAAGAACAAAAGAAATCGAGGTGTTTGTTGACGTTTGTGGGTTTGGTTGGAATACAGTAACGAACTTCCTAAAAGTTATTGATAGTTCGCGCCAGTACTGGGCTCGGCTGGAAACTGTAATGTCGGTATTTGCTAGCAAAGTAACAATGGCCACATACATACATACACCGCTCTCGTGAAAAGTCAGTTGCTGGCTGTTACAGGTCAAGAGTCCTTAAGCAGCAGCAGCTGCTGTGAATTGAGAAACCTTAAAGCCCCGAAAACAAGTATTTTCGTTCTGATTAACAAACGCTTTCTCGGCGGTAGAGAATCAACATTCATCCCGTCTAAAATAAATAGGAGAATAGATTACTTTCAAGTTTTAACGACTGCGGCAGTACTGCAACCTGCATGACTAGCACTAAGTCCACGCAACATAATCGGTACATAGCTCTGCACTTTCAAGTTCAACTCCAAAAGAGTGATCGAACAAAACCATGAGAACCACAATGTCATTCCGTAGAGCAACAAAAAGTATCAAAACCTCTCTAAAAAAACTGCACCAAGTCCATCTCTTCAAAGGTCTTGCACGCTCAAACCTGCAACAAATGAACACAGATGTGCATTAGACAAAACCTTAGTGACATGTGCGGCAAAACGTTCAATTCGCAGGTAGTAGGTAGTAGGTACAATGCAACCAATTGATTCTTGGTTTCCTAGGGAAAGCATGTGTTACCGATGCTAGTACAGTGCTATTACATTACATCACCAAAACCCAGCAGATGGTAAGAGAACTGCCAACATTCTCCAACCCCAAACAAGTAGAAGAACAAAAGAAAAAGACTCCGTACCTGGGGGAAGAGATTGCTTCAGCTTATCGGCCTTCTCGTTGTCAAACACACATAGGGTGTAGAGGTACTTTGAGCAGCGGACCTTGAACTTGACTACATCTTTGCTCCTCTTGATCTTGACAGAGCGTGCATCCTTCCTTCTCGCCGTGAGAAGGAAGTCCTTGATCTCATGAATCTGCTTCGGCTGTTCATCACAACAAGCAACCAGCAAAATGCCATCATCAAGCAATGGTCACTAGACAAAACGGACAGCCAAAAGAAAATGTGCCCAGAATTACTGCATAGGTTATGCGCAGTCGCGCCATGTAGCAAAGGAAGAAATCATTTGCTATCCCTATTTTTTATCTTGAAACAACATCAAGCTGCCTAAGGTCCAGAGTAACTACACTCAATCAAAAAAGCAGCAGCAGCACTTGAAACAGCCTAATCCTACACAAAATTTGCTGCCAAATATTAACAGACGCCATCGGTTTCAGGCAGGTAAGGGCTTGGGATACGATGGTCAACACTCAACATCCACCATTTTCACGAACAGTAACGAGGTGGACACCGGACTATAGGAGCCTGGGAATTCCTTCGACCCAATACGAAAACAACATAAAACTACCGACTTTCAGGGTTTCCAACCAACTATCTACAGTAATTTACCCGGGGTTCTAAATCTGGAGGACACGAGGAACGAAAAACACAAACGCTGTATCAAAGAATATGTAGAATGTAGATGGATGTGAAACTTAAAGCAAAGAATTCGTAACCACCCAATGGTAATCTCACGTTGAACACAAAAATTCCCAATTGGAGAGGAGAGGAGACGAGACGAGATTAGGGTTTACCATTTTGTTTCGTCAAGTTGGGCTCCTCTTCTTCTGGAACTGATTCAGCCCTCGCTGAGAGTAAAGCAATTCAACCGGAGTTTCCGAGCTGTTATATACGGGACGGTGATGCAATTGTAAACCCTAGGAAGCAGAACACAGATACGACGAGTCAAGGTGTCGTTTCGTGCCACATGTCCAAACTGTTCCTGGTACGCCTCCGTTTGGGCTCTATAATATACCAGCGTGCGTTAGTGGAGGGAATCATGGGCTTTTAGTATTGGGCCTCACATATAAGACCATTATTTTCTACTTATTGGGCCCCCTGTCCCGTGGGCTCATCTCACTGGATAATTAAGAAAGTAGGGGATTTTGTAGTTTTGCCCCCTGAACTTTGGGGTTTTCCTATTTAAGCCTTAAGAAAAATTAATGATTGATTTTTGAAAAAAATGTACATGTGTTTTAACATTTGCTTATCGATTTTTGTAACTTTAAATCTTTGATTACTAGTCGTGAAATAATCTTATTCGGTATTTATTGGTACATATATTACAATAATTTTGGTAAAAAATATAAATATAAAAGAAGACGAGAATGATAGAAAGATTATATAGAACCGGAAGAAAAGGATTTACTCTTTCTATCGTGCTCTAGCAGATTGAGGAGTTTCTTTCTTTTAGTGAGAAGTCATTCCTTCACTTCCAACAATGATAGGGGCAAATTAAGCCTTATTAGACACGGGCATGAGCTTGATATTATTGCCCGTGAAGACTACTAAGCAACTAACTCCATATATAAGCTCACCTTATCTCATAAAACGAAATTTACATATGGGTCTTATCAGCTTTCACAAACTTTGTTTAAGCTCGGTAGGAGCTACTTTATGAAATCGATAATAAGCTCTAAACGAACCGATCCATGCCGCATACCTCCACGGCCATCGTGAACGATCATGATTCAAAGCTATAACCAGCAGCTGACAGTCGGAATGGACCGTGCACTCATATTCATATTCTTAAGCTAATTTCACTCATTTAAGAAGGACCTTAGTTTATGCTTCAATCGGGGTGAAACAAAGGAGATACTCAACTCGCTCATCACACACTTGTCCATTGTGGTTAACAACACAACACCATAAGCCCATCACACTTGTCCACGGTTTCATGTAAATGAGACTGTTTTGGACCTTCTTTTTTTTTACAAAAGATAATCTTATATTGATCAAACAAATAGGTAGTTACACCCTGGAGTTCATCCAGGCCTGAAGGGTCAGAGGGAAGAGAAGGGGAATGAGGGGCAGGAAGGACCCTGTCCTTTGGTAGATTAACTCATTCCTGTACCTGCTGGTTCAATTTCCGTATCAAAGCGGGGACCTTAAACTGCTTGCCATCAAAGACAACCCAGTTACGAGAGCGTCAGATCCGCCGGAGGACGACAACAACCGTCATTAGCACAGGGGGCTGATGGACCAAGGCCAATAATTTCTTCAGAAAGAGAGAGAAAGTGTGACGCGGCAGCCCTTCTCCAAGGTGAGCTAACCCAAAATGATCCCAAAAGGCACGAGCAACCGGACAGTCCAGAAACAGATGTTCCAAAGTTTTCGATGTTGCCCAACACACAAGGCATCTAGGTAGCACTGCAACCTTCTTCTCAATCAGGGCCTCCGTGGTAGGTAAAATTCTATGGAAGATCTGCTAGACGAACACCTTAAGCTTTGGGGGATATTAGCATCCCATAATCGAATCCAACTATCTCTATCCATCCAGCTTTCCATCTCCCGTGTTGTCGGTCAAGATTGACCGCCAAATGATAGGCCGATTTAACCGTAAAAACCCCATCTGCAGTTCCATGCCAAATTATTTTATCCTCAATGCTCATACGAGGCAGTGGGATGGCCCGAATGTTTCGACAAGTCTGAGGATGGAACCACAGGCTTGCTTACGATCACACCACTGACCTTCCCCTTGTTGAATAACCTCTGCTGCCTTCAACACCTCCCCCTCCGGAATAACACATTACACATGGGTTATACACAGGGGTGTAGGGGATGTTGAAGAGATATCCAGCTAGAGGAGAGTAGAGGAGCCTTCTGGCCATTGCCAAACTGTCATCGAAGACCTGTTTCCAACAACTGACGACCAAAAAGGATACTCTGCCATCCCTAGAATGAACGAGAGCAGGCTGTCGTCGTAAGAAACGATCCATTGGGGAAATATTTCCCTTTATACACGTGAGCAAGAGGGAATTAGGCACATTAAGGAGGTCCAAGATAGGGTCAGTAACCACTGGTTACTGACCTATCAGTAACCACACGCGGGCCGTAGATCTGGGGATGGAGAAATCGTGTGGATGGGCTGGACGCTGGGTGGGGAGGGGCATTTTTGTCCGTTTTTGTATTTTTAATTTTTTTATTTATTCCGTATTTCAATGGCTGGCTTTTCAATGAAAGAAAGAGAATGGTCTTTTCTCTGCAACTCAACTTTCTTCCTTCTCTCTTCCTTTTTTTCAATCTCTTTCCAGATCCTTTCTCTTTCTCTATTCCTTCTCTCTTACTTTTTCTCTCACAATCTCCTTTTCAAATCTAAATCTACTCTCTTCCTTCTTCATTTTTTTTCTCTAACATAAAAATTGTAGCCACTCTCTTTCATTGCATTTCTTCTCTTCATCAACTCGTTGGACTCAATTCCGATCTTTCTCATTTTTTTGGCATTTTGGTGTTCTTGATTGAGGAAGAGGAAATGAGAGGCATCAGAAGACGATTTTTTCTCTCCCTCCTTCTGTTTTTTTCCTTTTAGATAATATATATTGATATTATGACTCTATACCATATGGTATTGGGTGGTAACGAAATATATATTGACATTACCACACTATACCCTATGGTAATTTATGGTATTGCGTGGTAACGAAATATATATTGATATTACCACACTATACCATATGGTATTGTGTGGTAACGAAATATATATTGACATTACCACTCTATACCATATGCTATTGTATGATATTACCACACTATACCATATGGTATTGTGTGGTAACGAAATATATATTGATATTACCACACTATACCCTATGGTATTGGGTGGTAACGAAATATATATTGATATTACCACACTATACCATATGGTATTGAGTGGTAACGAAATATATATTGATATTACCACACTATACCCTATGGTAATGTATGGTATTGCGAGGTAACGAAATATATATTGATATTACCACTCTATACCATATGGTATTGTGTGAATTGTGTGATATTACCACACTATACCATATGGTATTGGGTGGTAACGAAATATATATTGATATTACCACACTATACCATATGGTATTGGGTGGTAACGAAATATATACCATATGGTATGCTCTTGTTTAATACGAGTCAATACCATATGGTATAGACTGGTAATAACTGACAATTTTTTTTGTGTCCAAAAAATATCAAAGTGGATATCATTTTGAAGAACACAATTAATCTGATCTAACTGTGCAAAAAAAATTAAATTTCGACTTAAAACGAGTGAGAAATCGTTCGTGAAAAATTAACAGCCTGTTTGGATTGACAAAAAAGTAAGGAATTGGAATTCCATTTCCAATTCCATTTCCATATATTATGTTTGGAATAATAAAAAGGTTGAGAATTGAATTCCAATGGGTCTAAAAGGGTTAATTGCATGGTTGGTCACTGAGATTACAAAAAACGTTCATGTTTGGTCACTGAAAATATTTAAATCCAATCTTGGTCACTCAAATTAGTTAAATGGTTCAAGTTTGGTCACTCTCCGTCCAACTCCGTTAAATATGTCTGATGTGGCAGTCAACCCTCAAAGTTGACCGTTAACTCGGTGACGTGGCAATTAAAAAATAATAAATAAAATAAATTTTAATCTTCTACTATTTTCAACTCATTTTTACAATAAAGTAAAATAAAAAAATTATTATAAATGACTTCTACCGTTTGGTCACACGCCAAAGATGCTAAACTCTCTTCAACAAATTCTCATAAAACAGAGGAAACATTTTAGCTACATGCCAAAGATGAAAAACAGAGTCACGGAACAGTTCTGTTGGTGGAAAAAGAAAAACAGGGAATTCTGTTTCTGCTGTGTGTGAGTGGCAAACAGAAAAACAAAATGTCAAGGTTCTTCACATAATCTCTGCATTCCCAAAAATCTACAAATTAATTCTTCTTTTTTATCAGATTAGCTATGGCCCCTTCCCTCTGAAATTCCACTGCAACCTCTTCACCCGAATCACAACCTTCTTATCGATACAGACGGAGAGAACAGGGTGGTGATGCCTCTGCTTCAGCCCTTCCTTCTCCCCCTCGCCGCCGCTGCATTTAATCAGGATATCATGCTCGCCGTAGGTCTCGGAGAATCGAGCTTTAGTGGAATACAGAGTGCTTCCGGAGCAATGCTCATGCCTCGAAATCAAGCTGACTTTGGCGGCGGCCGGCGCCGCCCTCAGCAATTTCTTGGATAGAACTGCGGATTCGTCGGCCAGGTCGCCGAGGACGAGGGCAATTTCGGAATCGACCAAAACGATGACGTAGAACCCGTCGATGGGCTCCGGGCCGGAGTCGTAGCGGGCGGAGGAGAGATCCCAATAGACGTCGAATTTGGAATCGGGTCCGCCGGCGTCGATCGAGCGGCTGCCCTTCTTCTTGCGGAAGAGGCTGGAGCTGGTGTTGAGCTTGAAGGTGGACGGGCCGAGGAGGAGGAAGAAGAAGCGGCGGTGGTGACTGGGAAGGAGACGACGGCGGCGGCGGAGGAGCAGAAGAAGCCATTTATATTTATTTTTTTTATTTTACTTTATTGTGAAATGAGTTAAAAATGGTAGAAGATTAAATTTTATTTTATTTATTATTTTTTAATTGCCACGTCACCGAATTAACGGTCAACTTTGAGGGTTGACTGCCACATCAGACATATTTAACGGAGTTGGACGGAGAGTGACCAAACTTGAACCATTTAACTAATTTAAGTGACCAAGATTGGATTTAAATATTTTCAGTGACCAAACATGAACGTTTTTTGTAATTTCAGTGACCAACCATATAATTAACCCGGGTCTAAAATATGAGAATTACAATTCCTATCAAAAGTGATAGGAATTGAGAGAATGAAGATGGAATTAGTGGGACCCATCAATACTTTTTATTATTTTGTTGACCCACTATCATTTTACTCTCTTTCTCTCTCATTCATATTTCATTTCCCAAAATAAAACAAACATATTACATTATTCATTATGGTTAAAAGTGCAATTCATTTCCATAGTTGTAGGAATTATACCAAACACTAGAATTGGAAATGGAATTCTATAAAAATAAAAAATTGAATTTCATTTTCATTTCCATTTCTTCCGGAATTGTATCCAAACAGGCTGTAAGGGAAGGAAAATTAAATGTTTTGCGAGGAGAGAGAAGGGGGGCGCTGATATGCTCCGGTCAAAAGTCAGCATCAACAATAAATAGGAGTAAGTGCAATTTTACCGTATTGCCCTTTTCACATTTAATTTAAATAAAAAAAGTAACTGACACGTGGGGACCAGAGAAAGGGTTACTGATGAGTTACTGACCATCAGTTACTGACCGGATCTAAACCCATCCGTATTGGGAAATAAAACGCTAGAGACAGCTTAGTCAGCTGATGAGCGACACATGACAGTAGGAATTGACTCAGGGTTTTCGTCACCCGTCAGCGCCGAAAATTGGACTGATGACCTTAGCACACAGTCCAAGCCAGTCAGTCCGTCAGTCCCCGGCGAATTAAAACGCTTCAGCTTTTCCACCTATCGCTTCCCCTGCCCGGGGAGAGAAGTCGGGGGTAGGGATGCTGCTGCCGCCGCCGTCACAGCTCCCTACCCCAAGGCCATTCCCGCCTCCACGCCACCGCTTCGTAATCAGAGAATCTCATCATCCCGGGAACCCAACAGTCACCCCCAATTCCCAACTCACCGGAAATCGAATTCCAATATTCCATCGTTAATACCCTTTTCCCTCTTTCTTCCTAGCATAAAGCCTCTGGTCCTCCTTCTCCTGCTTAGGCTTGTACCCACCAACACTAATATCATATGGAAGCTGTTCCCATGGACATTGATGCTCCCCCTGATCACGATGACCCTTCTCTTCCCTTCGCCAGAAGGTAAAAAAATAACAGATATTTGTGCCCAATGTATTTGTTTTTGTGTTAATGTGGGTGAAAGAAAGAAGACTGCTTTTTTGAACATTTTGCATTCTTCTGTGCTAGTTATCAACTGGAGGCACTCCAAGTGGCGATCAGGCAGAACACCATATCATACTTGGAAACTGGGTCTGGCAAAACCCTCGTGGCAATCATGCTTCTTCGTCACTATGCCCCCTTTCTGCGAAAGCCTTCTCCTTTCATCGCCGTGTTCTTGGTTCCTCAAGTCGTTCTGGTCCGGCAGGTAATATCTGCAACTCTGCAATCTTCCCTTCTGCACTTCTCTTAACAAACTTGGTAATTATTAATTAACTAGCTAACCATGTGGTATTGTGGGTGATCGTAGCAAGCTGAGGCTGTTAAAGCCCACAGTGACTTGAAAGTGGGCACTTATTGGGGTGAGATGGGAGTGGACTTCTGGGATGCAGCTATTTGGAAGCAAGAAATTGACAAACATGAGGTGATGACTCATTTCAAGCTTTGCCTTGTTTTTTTGTAAACTTTTTCCTCTGTTTTGTTCTTCCAATTCTGATCGGCTTCCCTCAATCTTGAAGGTACTAGTGATGACCCCGCAAATTCTGCTGAATTGCTTGAGACATAGCTTTTTCAAACTCGAGTTTATCAAGGTTTTGATATTTGATGAATGCCATCACACTGGTGGTAAGCATCCTTACGCCTGCATCATGACGGTAAGATATCTTCCACGTTTAACAACAAGCTTTCAGCTTTGGAATTTAGGTCTACATTTTCTCAAATGTGATTACATTTGCAGGAATTCTATCACAAGTTGGCCTGCAAAGCTTGTGACCTTCCAAGGATATTTGGGATGACAGCTTCTCTTATCAAATCAAAATGTATGCTTTTCAGAGGTTTCTCTTGCCAGTGTCCATCACAATGTTACATTATTAACCTTGAAATCTTGTGTGCATGATTGATCTTCCAGGTGGAACATCCGAATCAGAGTACTGGGAAAAGATTAAAAAACTAGAAACAATAATGCATTCAAAGGTTTCTCTCAGATTCTGGTTGACATAATTCTTTGTATTTTTTGTCTTTGAAATGATTGGAGTATGATATTCAAGGCTGATAAGTTACCAGGAGTGATAGAAGGAATTGCATGTATGGTAGCAGTTCATTTTTCTTGATTAATGCTGACTGTTTAATTTCTTTTTTTCGCACTGAAGGTTTACACTTGTGTTAGTGAGTCTGCTATTTCAAAATACGTACCAATTTCAACGCCCAAATTCAGATTTTATGAAGCTTTAGATGTACCGGGTGATCTAGTTGCTCGCTTACGGTTTGGTCTAAACAACTTGAAAACAAAGGTGGGTTTCCACTTGTTGATGATGTTTATGTTTATTTAGTGTGATTTGGTGGTTCTAGGATGTTGACAACAGACATGCCGTTCCTTTCAGCATGAGAATTTATTGACTAAGATGGATCTTACTACAACTTCCTTGGAATCCACGAGGAAAAAACTGACTAGAACTTGTGAGGCATTGCTATATTGTTTAGACGACCTCGGCCTCATGTTGGCCTCCAAGGTACGGTAATTATTTTTTCATTTTGTGTTACTGTCCCTGAACTACAACATGGTTACCGTTGTTAATAATCTGTCACAGGCTGCCAAATTCCTGTCTAGTTGTGATAGTGATGGTATGCTATCGGATAAACTGGATGTCTTTGGTGAGCGAGTTGTTAAAAAGTTCAGTACAGATGCATCAATGGTATTTCAAAGCTGCATTTCGACCGGTAATTACTTCCCGAACTGTTTAATAGGAGAGTCTTGAATTCAGGTTCTTTTTGCTTGTTTGAGTCGTTTCCCTATTCATGTTTTATTTATGCGGACTATTTGTCTCCAGAATGGACCCTTGGTGGAGATGCAAGAGCTCATGTCAAGTCTGGATTTCTAACTTCCAAAGTGGCTTATCTCATTCAGTGTCTACTGGACTACAGGTGGGAGTTTATTTATGATCTCACTTTTAATTTAATCATATCTTGAAACTTGCCTCTAATTTGTTTGCTAAATCAGATAATCTTAAGATTTTATTTAAGTTCGCTTTGTGGTGATTTTGTTCTCATTCGTTTGTATGTTAGCTAGCCCTGTATTGATGAATTTTATTCATTTGGTTAAAAGCAGGAATTTCAAGGATATCAGATGCATTGTTTTTGTAGAAAGGGTCATTACCGCTATCGTTCTTCAATCACTATTGAGTGAAATTCTTCCTGAACATGTTGGTTGGAAGACTATGTACATAGCAGGTAACAACTCAGGGTTACAAACTCAGACAAGAAAAACACAAAATGAAATCGTCGAAGATTTTCGCAAAGGCATGGTATATATTATACGCCCTTCTATTGTATACAATAGATTGGTTTTTTCTTCTTTTCTTTTCTCTTGTCTGTTTTCTTTTGTCATGTTTTTTTTGTTTTGTTTTGAATGCTCAAGTTTATCTGTTGGATGATATTTTCAGGTAAATATAATTGTTGCTACCTCAATTCTTGAGGAAGGTTTGGATGTCCAAAGCTGCAACTTAGTGATTAGATTTGATCCCTCTGCTACTGTGAGTAGCTTTATCCAGTCACGTGGTCGTGCTAGAATGGAGAACTCGGATTACGTTCTAATGCTCAGAAGGCATCGCCCACTTAACACTTCTCTTCATAATAACATCAGTTAGTTAGAAAATGTTCAGTTTCTTCAATTCTTCACGAGTGATTGTTCTTTAAATATATTATGCAGTGGCGACATTTCTGGACAGTTCCGCCTAGAGAAGTATCTTTCTAGTGGAGAGATAATGCGAAGTGAGTCACTTCGACATGCTTCAAATCCTTGTCCTCCTCTTGGAAGTGAATTCTACGACGAGGAGATTTATCGGGTTGAAAGCACTGGTGCGGTTGTGACTTCCACATCTAGCATTTGCTTGATACACTTCTATTGCTCTCGTCTTCCTTCTGATGGGTTAGTTGTTAACTAATTTAGTTCTTAATTATGGTAAGCTTGATATCCCATGTGTCTAAATAGTATGCTAGCATTGTTTTAGGTACTTCAAACCAGCTCCCCACTTTGTTATAAACAAGGAAACAAGCCGTTGCACACTTTACCTTCCAAAGAGTTGCCCACTGCCACCTGTTTCTGTTGAAGGAGACATTAAATCACTGAAGCAGAAAGCATGTTTGCAAGCGTGTATAATGCTCCATAAGATTGGTTCATTAACTGATAATCTTGTTCCAGATACCGTTGCAGAAAAATTGGATGATCGAGAACTTGGTGATTGTCGCTTTCATTCATTATATTTTTGACTACTTTGTCTTCAGGCGATTCGTAATTTATATGTTGTTTAAATATCCAGAAGCTATCCTGCAACTCTTGATGTTTCTCATTACCTTCCTTGATGACAGGCGAAGAATGCTATGATGATGAATTTCCTGTTTACTTTCCACCGGAGGCTGTGCGTAGCCAAGAGAGCTGCAGTCAGCCTGGAAGTGAAAAATATTACTGCTATTTGATTAAACTTTGTCCCCAATATGAAAGTCGGACTGCTGTGCAGGATATTGTCCTTGTCATGTGCAGTGAACTTGAGACGGAGATTGTAAATTCAAATTTCAATTTAGAAGATGTTAGAGGTTCACTGAATGCTACCTTGAGCTACATGGGATTTCTGGATCTTACACCAATGCTGGTATGCCAAATTTATCTCCACGGTCACTTCCTTAATTGTGGATCTAACTAGATTTTTGTCCTTTTGGCTTTCTACTATGTGGTTGTAGGTTAATCTGTGCAGGATGTTCCAGATCACTGTTTTTAATGTTCTTATACATCATAGCTTGGATAAGCTGAAAGGAAAAATCCAAGCATTGAAGCATTGTGATCATCTCGATTATTTTGTGCTACCAGCTACTACTTCAGCACAAAAAGCCAGCATCGATTGGACATGTGTTAGATCTGTACTGTTTTCATATAAACAGGCATGGGAGGATCATAAGAAGTACCCATTGCAGTGCAATGGTGCTGGTGTGGTTGTAACGACAAAGGACGGACCAGCATGCAAATGCATGCTACAGAATTCATTGGTTTACACCCCTCATAACAGAAAACTGTATTCTACACTTGGTATATCAGATAAATTGTCTGGAAATTCCTTCTTGAGCATGTGTGATGGAGCAAGTGTCACTTACAAGGAATACTATAAATTCCGGTGAGAAAATTTTCCTTGTTATTCATGTGACACCTTTCATCATTCTGCCATATGACACTTTGTTGTGAGGGCAACTAATTTGGATGTTTTCAGGCATGGCATTAAGTTAGACTCTAGCCACCAGCCATTACTACATGCAAGGCAGATATTTCCAGTCCATAATTGCCTTCTTAGATGTAAACAACAACGAAAAGAAAAAGGTCCTGCTTCTTTGACCATTTCCCACTGTTTACGGCAGACTAATGCGTTAAGAGGGATACGTAGGTCTTATCTAATTTCAATCCCTCATATTCCTGTACTATCTGTTTGCAGAATCAGGAAATGCATATGTAGACCTGCCCCCTGAGCTATGTTGCATACTTATGTCGCCAATATCTATTAGTACCTTTTATTCCTTCACATTCATTCCATCAATTATGCATCGTCTCGAGTCTTTGTTGATTGCTTTTAACTTGAAGAAGATGCATTTGCATAGCGGACATAATGTTGATGTTCCGTTAGAGAAGGTAACTTGCATTTCCTAAATGAATCAAAACTAATGATAGCTCGTTTTTACCTTCTTTTTTTTTCTTCCTCTCTGTATTGATATTTCATCGAGTTTTCTGGCAACTGAGGTAATTAATATCAACTTTCCATGGTAGGTTCTGGAAGCAATTACTACGAAGCAATGCCAGGAGAAATTTCACTTGGAATCATTAGAGACTCTTGGAGATTCTTTTCTCAAGTATGCTGCCTGTCAGCAATTGTTCAAGACCTACCACAGTCACCATGAAGGCCTTCTGAGTATCAAGAAGGACAAAATTGTGTCTAATGCCTCGCTTTTCAAGCTAGGATATGACATCAAACTTCCGGTAACTAATTCATTCCATGTACTCCCTCACTTTATGTCTATGCTGTATACAGCTTGTGATATCGTGCTTCCTACTTATTTGAGCTACCCATGATGGTAGTCGCATTCATCATTCTTCAATTAAATTTGCAGGGGTTTATTCGCGATGCACCTTTTGATCCTAAAACGTGGATGATTCCTGGTTTCAATAAGGACGAGTACTCTTTAGGCGAAGAGCTACTACCAAATTCTAGAAAAGTTTTTGTGGCGGGAACAAGGAAGTTGAAAAGTAAGAGAGTGGCGGATGTTGTGGAGGCCCTTATTGGCGCTTACTTGAGCACAGGTGGTGAAACAGCAAGTTTACTGTTTATGAACTGGATTGGTATAAAGGTAGAGTTCAACAATAGTGTTCCAAGTGAGAGGCAATTACAGGTGGATCCTGAGAAGCTTGTAAATATACCTCATTTGGAGTCTCTATTGAACTATTCCTTCAATGATCGATCCCTTCTTGTGGAAGCATTGACTCATGGTTCCTACATGCTTCCTGAGATCCCTAGATGTTACCAGGTTTATTCACAACTTTTTTCCTGACAGTCAATGATTGCAATTGCTTAGACACTATATTGCTAAATAATCATCTTGCTGCTAAATGTTGCTCCACAGAGGCTGGAATTTCTTGGTGACTCTGTCTTGGACTATCTCATCACCGTGCATTTATACAAGAAGTATCCTGATATTTCGCCAGGGTTATTGACAGACATGAGATCGGCTTCCGTGAACAATGAATGTTATGCTCAATCGGCTATCAAGAACGGTTTGCATAAGCACATACTCCATGCATCACAGAGACTCCACAAGGACATAAGCCGCTGCATTTCGAACTTAAATGAAGTGCCTTCAGGGCCAAGTTTCGGTTGGGAATCCGAGACTTCTTGTCCCAAGGTTAGTCATTCCTGACCCTGAGCTTTCCTTCATCATATTCTGTTATTCCTTTTTGGTCACTGGCCATGTTTATAAACCATTAGTGCATTCTCGGTGCTGAACTGATCAGTACTTGTTCTTCGTCATTAGGTTCTTGGAGATATAATAGAGTCTTTGGCTGGGGCTATACTAGTTGATTCAGGGTACAACAAGGAGGTAGTTTTCCGGAGTATAATGCCATTGTTGGAGCCGTTAGTCACTCCAGAAACACTCAGGCTAGAGCCTGTGAGGGAGCTGAACGAATTCTGTCAAAGAGAGCAATTTGTGCTGAAGACGCCTGTTGTCTCCCGCGATGATGGTTTAACGTCCATCACGATTCAGGTGGAAGCTGATGGTGCCATATTCACGCACACATCAGCTGCCGCCGATAAGAAGATGGCGAAAAGACTAGCTTCCAAGGAAGTACTGAAGGCTCTGAAGGGAATTGGCGCTCGCCTTCATGGTGAATGACGAGGCTTCTGGGTTTGAGTTGCACTGCTTGATGTTAACTACAATTAAGCAATTTACATCTGATTCTTGCCATTGTATCCACCATTTTTGTCAACAACTCATCAATTGCTTTGATTAATTGAAACATGGGCACTTAATCCTCTAGGTTTGGCAAGTTGACTGGAACAACTTAATTTAATAAGTGAATTCAACTTAATTTGACAAGTGAAAGTTTAATAATCTGTGTCTCGTGTGGTCATTTATATTTGACAACAGAATTACAACCACAACACCATCAAATAATCAAAGCTTGAACAGGGAGCAGACCAGTTTAAACTTTAAACACTGATAATGAACACTACACAACCAGACTCGCAACAGATGCTTAGATAGATGCCTACATCATACGCAAACAACACAAAATGCAATGGATGGAAGCAATATAACCTTTCATCCAGTGCTAACATGGTGTTCTGAGCCTTGGATGAAGCCTTTTACTACAGACATGCAGCCACAGAGGTGCTTCTCATGCACAAGTGAACGAACCGTGCTGATCCACCAAAATGCACGACGGCATCACAGCAGGCAGGATCGTACCCTTTTACTAACATGATTTCATGCTTATATTTGACACAAGCCACCAGAAATTGGTCCACTTTGGCCAACTAATCTATGCCTGGTAGCTGCAGACTTGCTATACGATACGAGTTCAGATTCGCTAATCCTCTGAACATGGCAATCTCAACTACTTGAGGGGTCGAATACAAAATCATCACAGCATTATACATGAGACCATTGCAGACTAATGTGTTATTCGAATTTCACGACAGAATGTGCACAAGGCATGACCATCAGGATAACTTGCAACCAATCATATACATTAAACAGCATATCTATGCCAAATTCACTTCTGGTTAGCAAGGCATTAGATTCAGTATTCCAATTTGAGAAAGAGTAACTCACAGAACAAAAAGCAACCGAGAACCAGCACTCCACAATATCAGTAACACAAAAATGGACCTTCAGGCTTCACAAAGTCTCCACTTTTCCAATATTATGCAGAGTGTACACACAGGCAAGGTTCGAATATAAGACGCTCCAGAACGAACTCAATTCGCAGTCATGGTTAAACAAAAGATCAAACAGAACCAAATTGTTTTCAGATCAAAGCCCTTGTCTTTTTTTATTTCTTAGCGTTCCCTTTACCTCCGGAAGATTCCCCTCCGGCGGCCTGCGCCGCTTTCTTGGCCGTCTTCTCCTGCAGAGCCTTGGCGTCCCTGCGCACAGAAAAGCAGAACCCAGAAATTCAGAATCACTACAAGCAGCTCGAAAAAAAGGGAATTGGAAAAAGCTTAAAACGAAGGATTGGAAGGAGAAGGGGAAGAGAAAGACCTCTCGCGGCGCTGTTCAGGGGTCAAGCCATCATCTTTGCCCTTGGCGCCCTTGCCGCCGCGAGACTGAGCTCTTTCGCGATCCTTCTCCCTCTGATTTCCGCGTGGAGGATCAAACCAAAACAGAGTCAAGGAGACACAAAAGCAGGACCAATTGAGAGAATGAATGAATGAAACAATTGCAAACTCGTTAGATCTGAAAGCTAAGAGAGATTGGAGGAGAACGACATGAGAAGAAGAAGAAGAAAAAGGATATGAGTCATGGCGAGGAAGCTGCGATTGGAGCGCTGAGAGAGACTGGGGAACTGGGAAGGGATTAGATTCGAGCGATTGGTTTGGTGGTGGTGGCTATGGCTGCCAGGGCAGACGACGAGATCGGAGACTTATTATTAGCTACGGCGAAAGTCAAAAGGGGAAAATATAACTGGAAGAGGAATCCTATTTTCGCTGTATTTCCCCCTTTGTTTTGCCATTTTGGAGAGGAATCCTATTCACTTTGTAATAATGCGGATTCGTATTTTATTTTGGATTTTCAGTTGCAAGAAAATTGTTTTTAAAAATAATTTGTGAAAGACCCATTTTCATTTATTATTGTAAATATGTTGGCTTATTTCAGGCATATTATTCAAGGGGTTCTTTGTCAACAATCCATGAATCCACATATGATGACCCAGAATCCAATATAGATGAAACTTGTACCCAATCCTGAAGTAAATGTAGTGGTGCTACTTGTTTCACGATAGAGTGACACATAACAGAGAGTTTAATGATGCATACGATATCTACACGTGGATAAACACGGCTCTAATTATAATGGGGATTCAAGTATCTAATTTTTCTCATTTAAAAAAAAGTTGCAACGAGGGTGATTCAATAATAGTTAAGTTAGAAAGTTTCATAATTAAAATTAAAAATAAATCAATTTCCAACCAACCACAACACTCCACCCGTCACACTCTCTCACATCCAGTTTCCTCTCTTAATAATCATAAATGATCTGAATCTTTTTTGTTTCGACTCAAATTTTATCCATTTTCACATGAAAAATATGATTTAATCTTATCTATAAACTAATACTCGACACTTTCATACGCTTTGAAATAAAATATAAAATCACGACATTTTACCACTGGCATGTCATGTATTACAACTTGACATTTGTATATTGATGTTGTGCAATCTTACTATAGTGATAATAGCATGGTATAACTAGTGGTATACTCACATAAAGTGGTTTGTTCCTGTATCACAATACTACATGACTACACCACCATGCAAGGCTATTAAATAGAATGGTCGATGGCGAAGAAGGGTTCAGTCCAGCGGTATTACTATTGGTTTTCAACTTTGAGATTACATGTTCAAATTCCCGGGTGCACTCCTCCTTCCCTCGCAGACCCCCTTCAATAGCATGTGAAACAAAAGTAGTATAGGCAATGTTGTAAACAACAATCAACCAAATTTCATTCATGACGGAGGCACTAGCGTGAACGTCTAGACTACCTCTTGACATGTGCGATAATCGAAAAACTACATAGATTAAGTATGTTATGTATAAGAGTGATGGATAGGTAAAACACTTACCTTTCTCATACCAAGCTTTTCGATTGATTGTACGAACTGTTTAACTTTTAATTTTATTCCATCACGTCATTTAATTTTCAGCTTACAAAAAATAAATATGGATGTGCAACCCAATACCATATCGGATTCAATAAAAAATATCACATCGAAAAAATAAGTTAAAGGTTTCTTATATATTAGTGTCTACCTACCCCAATTAGTACAATTTTATTTGGAAAGGTACCCAAGACCAGATTCATATGACCTTGACTCAGAACAAACAATATCGTACTAATGGGCATGTCCGCTCTCAAATAATAAATCCAAATCCTTTTACATTTTATCAAAACAATAAATGGGATATCTCTTTTTTTGTCAACTATATATTTAGTTTACTAAAAAAACCAGATTTTTTTGGGGGTATATATGGGAAATGTATCCTACATAACCATAAATATTGGCCAGCTAATATGAACACAATCTAGATTTTGCTCCAACAGAATCCTTATAAATAGAGCTCTCATTACTCTATAAATTCAACAACATTGTGGCTAGTGGTATATATTGAGACTATTAGCACAAGTACTTATTCCCTCCCAAAAAACCAAACAGGTCTCAAATTAAATCCCAAAGTATGAAGACCTCCAACATCTTCCTCCTCTTCTTACTCGCATCTTTCGTTATCATCGGTAAATACCTCGGAATCTTATCCTCTTTTTTTTTTTACTATGACTTCACGATAGAACGGAGATATAACAGAGGTTCTAATGATGCTAATACGAAATCCAAGTGCACGTTGTATCGTACTATATGTATTTTCCTTCCAATCATCTAAAAAAAATAGCAAATTGTTATTATAATACAGGAAATATGGAAGTGGCTATGGCGACGAGAACGGTTGAAGAAAATGGAGGAAAAAAGTGCGAGAGAGGAAGTGTGGACATAGTGAATGGATGTGTTGATTCCGACTGCGACAACGGATGCAGGGTGAACTATGGGAGCACAGCTACTGGTGCATGCAAAACCAAGACTTTATGTGTTTGCTATGGCCCATGTTAAATTAATTAGTAGTATAAGTTACTATGGAGCTATATCGGGTGTGATACGATTCTTACCATAATGATACGACGTGTTTTTTACCATAGTGATTGAATTTTGGAAGAGAAGTAATAGAGATAATCACGCTCCTAATTCATATCGATCTCACAGTTCGTAACTATGATTTACTACACACATTTGCCATGGTCTAGGTCTTTGCAGCACAAAGTACCGATAATAGGATTGCAGCACCAACTGCAAAATGGAAACTTCCCTTCCGCTCGATAATTCGCCGTTACGGCTGGCTGTCCTTTTACTGTTGTTGCTGGTGTCGCGCCCACAGTCGTCGTCTCGAGAAATACATTTCTCGTTGCGCTACAAGGACGTTGTTGTATCACTATAGAAAAAAGTCGTACGTGTACACACTGAGAAAGGCTGTTGGAATGAGGTGATTGTTGATAACCATGAATGATTAATATATGGTATATAGTTGATGACGAAAAAACATTATTTTAAGGTACTTACAGATGATAACGAAAGATGTGAGTAAGAAAAGAAGGAAGATGTTGGAGATCTTTATACTTTGGGAATTTATTTGGAACATGTTTTCTTTTTGTGAGAGAAGAAGTGCTCGTGCTGATAGCCTTGATCCGACCAGTCACAAATCACAATATTGTTGAATGCACATAGTCAAGAGAAATGAGAACTCTATTTATAAGAATTCCGTTTGAGGGCTCATATTAGCTTACCAATCATTTTTTTTTTTTTTACCAATAGATCACTATTAGCTTACCAATCATTAATATTCCATATATATAAAAAAGAATCTGCTTTTTAAGTAAGCTAATAATATATTTGACAAAAAATAAATCATTAATGGTGTAGTATGATACACTTTCCATATATAACAAAAATCTGATTTTTTAGTAAGCTAATAATATATTTGACAAAAAAGATATAGTATTAATTATGGTTTTGGTATACATTCTTTTCAAACATAGTTAGTAAAATAAGGTGTAGATATGTTATGGTATTAAATACGTACATGGTTCATATAACATGTTTGAACTGACAATACCTAATTTCCAAATCTATGCAATGTTTACAATGTAAAATGCGTAAAATGTTATAAGGAGGAACTAGCTTTTTACCCGGCCCGATGGTCGGAGAGATTTATTTTATAATTTATATGTTTAAATCATTTTGGATCTTTTAAATATTTTATAACAGAGTTTGTAGTATGTCTATATTGAAATTTCTAATATTTAGCACACTCACTTGTGATGCTTCGGTTTTTGAATCATAAATTATGTCGCTGTCACATCCCATTTAGAACTTATGTCAAAATTTGTCAAACAAAACACTAATATTTAGCGTACGCCAACCTGAACCACACACACATATATATAGTTGAAGCTAGCGTGCGCCAGGAGTACGCTATACTCTTGTATTCATACTACCATACGACCATTGAGTTTTACTATTTAGACCCGAATTAACCGGAGTTTTTTGGGGCATGATACTATACCATAACAACTAATAGGTGAACTCTAGTCCCTAATTCTGTAACCTCTAATTTATGCACATACTTCGTAATACCTATCTTCTATCGTATCTTGAGTTAAGTAAAGTATAGTATACATTGATATTACATATACATGTATATATATGTGTGTGTGTGTATATGTATATTAGACTCAAAATTATCTAGAGATCTCGCTTTTACCCCCATAACGCCAGACAACCATTGGGGTTGTCTATCGTTCGATATGCAATATATAAAGAGGCAAATACTAAGATCCTACTATTTATTTCTTATCCTCTCCCGCCGTCCCCTTTATGGATAATAAAAAGGTAGGGATGATAGGATCATAGCTCAATATGGTTTTATTATGTTCATCGTATCGGAGGTTATTTTCTTTTTTTACCTTTTTTGGCTTCTTTTCATTCTACTTTATCACATATGGTTGTGATTAGAGGTATTTAGCCCTCGAAAGGGGTTGGCATTTTAGGTTCTTTGGAAATCCAATACACATTCATGATCCTCGAGTTTGGACGAACTCTCGACCAATGTTGTAAAAATTACGACTTTTTAGTGAGAAATTCTTAGTATAGATACTTCATTATTGGATTTATTCATCCATAATGACACACACCGTAGCCCCCATGATGACTAAATTCTCTAATATCGACTCATTTTCATTTTGGATGTTTTTTTTTATCCAGACACTTAAATTTAGTATATTATACAATATGTATCAATTGTTAATTCTTGAAGTTTATACTAAACCTCAACTGGTGGTCATTGTTTATATGTTGGCTTAGAATCTCAATCTAAGGCACTCACACACACTATCGAGAATTTTGGTCTTAACATGATCGTTGAATGTGTAATTTTCAAAGATTTTATCACTTATATATTAATAATTGATAAAGAGTGTCTCCAATACACACATATTTTAAGTGCATTTAAAATGTCTTATTATTTGAACAATATCAGTGTATTTCATTTGATTATTTGCATTAACTTATTATCTTATACAACATATATTAATTCGTGTTTCTCGAGTCTAGACGAACTGACAACCAATTTTGAGAGTTGAGATTATTGGATAAAGATACTTGATTGCTGGAAAAATATGTTTATCCCAATTGACAATCTTACTAAAAATTGCCAACCTTTATTTGGTAAATGCCTAGGTTAGTAGTTGATGAAACGTGATGTTTATCGTAGATTCTGAACAAAGATTTTTCTAACCTTCACATCTATTATTTTTCAATAAATTTTGTGTCTCATCTTAGGGTATGAAGTCAAAGTTCGTCAACAATAATACTTAAGTCATTTTGAAAATTTTGATTTATAATCGT